AGAGCTGGGGGGAGCCGGGGGCTGGGACAGCAGGGGCTGCAGGTCGGGGGTGAGGGGCACCGGCAGAGCTGGGCGGGGAGCCGGGGGCTGGGACAGCAGGGGCTGCAGGTCGGGGTGAGGGGCACCGGCAGAGCTGGGGGGAGCCGGGGGCTGGGACAGCAGGGGCTGCAGGTCGGGGTGAGGGGCACCGGCAGAGCTGGGTGGGGGGGGAGCCGGGGGCTGGGACAGCAGGGGCTGCAGGTCGGGGGTGAGGGGGCAGCGGCAGAGCTGGGGGGAGCCGGGGGCTGGGACAGCAGGGGCTGCAGGTCGGGGTGAGGGGCACCGGCAGAGCTGGGCGGGGGAGCCGGGGGCTGGGACAGCAGGGGCTGCAGGTCGGGGTGAGGGGCAGCGGCAGAGCTGGGGGGGGGAGCCGGGGGCTGGGACAGCAGGGGCTGCAGGTCGGGGTGAGGGGCACCGGCAGAGCTGGGGGGGGGAGCCGGGGGCTGGGACAGCAGGGGCTGCAGGTCGGGGTGAGGGGCACCGGCAGAGCTGGGGGGGGAGCCGGGGGCTGGGACAGCAGGGGCTGCAGGTCGGGGTGAGGGGCACCGGCAGAGCTGGGGGGAGCCGGGGGCTGGGACAGCAGGGGCTGCAGGTCGGGGTGAGGGGCACCGGCAGAGCTGGGCGGGGAGCCGGGGGCTGGGACAGCAGGGGCTGCAGGTCGGGGTGAGGGGCACCGGCAGAGCTGGGCGGGGAGCCGGGGGCTGGGACAGCAGGGGCTGCAGGTCGGGGTGAGGGGCACCGGCAGAGCTGGGGGGAGCCGGGGGCTGGGACAGCAGGGGCTGCAGGTCGGGGTGAGGGGCACCGGCAGAGCTGGGGGGGGAGCCGGGGGCTGGGACAGCAGGGGCTGCAGGTCGGGGTGAGGGGCACCGGCAGAGCTGGGCGGGGAGCCGGGGGCTGGGACAGCAGGGGCTGCAGGTCGGGGTGAGGGGCACCGGCAGAGCTGGGTGGGGGGGAGCCGGGGGCTGGGACAGCAGGGGCTGCAGGTCGGGGTGAGGGGCAGCGGCAGAGCTGGGGGGGGAGCCGGGGGCTGGGACAGCAGGGGCTGCAGGTCGGGGTGAGGGGCACCGGCAGAGCTGGGGGGAGCCGGGGGAGGGGGCTGGGACAGCAGGGGCTGCAGGTCGGGGTGAGGGGCACCGGCAGAGCTGGGCGGGGAGCCGGGGGCTGGGACAGCAGGGGCTGCAGGTCGGGGTGAGGGGCACCGGCAGAGCTGGGTGGGGGGAGCCGGGGGCTGGGACAGCAGGGGCTGCAGGTCGGGGTGAGGGGCAGCGGCAGAGCTGGGGGGAGCCGGGGGCTGGGACAGCAGGGGCTGCAGGTCGGGGTGAGGGGCACCGGCAGAGCTGGGCGGGGAGCCGGGGGCTGGGACAGCAGGGGCTGCAGGTCGGGGTGAGGGGCACCGGCAGAGCTGGGGGGGGGAGCCGGGGCTGGGACAGCAGGGGCTGCAGGTCGGGGTGAGGGGCAGCGGCAGAGCTGGGGGGGGAGCCGGGGGCTGGGACAGCAGGGGCTGCAGGTCGGGGTGAGGGGCACCGGCAGAGCTGGGGGGAGCCGGGGGCTGGGACAGCAGGGGCTGCAGGTCGGGGTGAGGGGCACCGGCAGAGCTGGGGGGGAGCCGGGGGCTGGGACAGCAGGGGCTGCAGGTCGGGGTGAGGGGCACCGGCAGAGCTGGGGGGGGGAGCCGGGGGCTGGGACAGCAGGGGCTGCAGGTCGGGGTGAGGGGCAGCGGCAGAGCTGGGGGGGGAGCCGGGGGCTGGGACAGCAGGGGCTGCAGGTCGGGGTGAGGGGCACCGGCAGAGCTGGGGGGGAGCCGGGGGCTGGGACAGCAGGGGCTGCAGGTCGGGGTGAGGGGCACCGGCAGAGCTGGGGGGAGCCGGGGGCTGGGACAGCAGGGGCTGCAGGTCGGGGTGAGGGGCACCGGCAGAGCTGGGGGGAGCCGGGGGCTGGGACAGCAGGGGCTGCAGGTCGGGGTGAGGGGCACCAGCAGAGCTATGTGGGGTGCGGAGCTCAGGGCTGGGATATTAGGCAGGGCCCGATTAACACAGGGGCTTCAGGGGCTGCAGCCCAGGGCCTCGGGCTAAGGGGGCCCCATGGGCCGGATGTGGCCCGCTGCTTCTTTTCACGCAGCCCGCAGCAAGTCTCTGCGCCGCGGGCCAGACACCGGTCCCCGAGCCTCAGTGCCCCCCCCCGGGCCTGGAGCTGCAAGCGCCAGCTCGCTGATGTGCCCCTGCAGCCCCCGGCGAGGGGCATCCAGGGTATCTCTGTGTGCTGTCCCCACCCCCAGCACCAGCTCCGCAGCTCCCATTGGCCGGCTACTGCGGCCCACGGGAGCTGCGTGGGGCGCCTGTGTGCACGGGCAGTGTGCACCGGGCAGAGCCACCTGGCCCCTCTGCCTAGGACCCGGACTTGCCGGCTACCTCGGGGAGCTGAGCGGTGTGGGGCCAGGGCAGGCAGGGATCCTGCCTTAGCCCTGCCGCGCTGCTGACCAGGAGCTGCCCAAGGTAAGCGCCTCCCAGCCGGAGCTGCACCCCAACCCCCTCCTGCACCCCAACCCCCTACTCCAGCCCGGAGCCCATTCCTGCACCCAAGCCCCCAGAGGCCCCACAAAATCTAATAGCCCCAAGGCCCACAGGAGAGTTAATCCAGCCCTGATAGCAGGGGGCAGCAGGTTGAGGAGGGGCGCCGGCAGAGCTGTGTGGAGTCAGGAGCTCAGGGCTGGGGCAGCAGGGGCTGCAGGTCAGGATTAAGGGGCACCGGCAGAGCTGGTGGGGTTGGGGTAAAGCCCAGCACTTGTTCCTTTTGGGGGGCCCTTTTCACTATTTAACTCAGATGCCCCTTTAGGGCAGAGCGCGCGGCTCCCGGGCTCCCACCCAAGCACTGAGCTGGGCCTGAGGGCCCTGGCGCTTCTGCAGGACACTGCTCAGGGCCCCAGCTCAGACCTGCTCCCAGCTGGAGCATCCTGCGTCCCTCCCCGCCTGGCTCCCTGCGAGGGCAGCTCCCTGGCTGCCTTTGCTGGCTCTCAGCACCGGCCCACGGGCTCCATCTAGCGGGCTCTGTAGGAGCCGGCAGGGTCGCAGGGCCGCGGCCATCATTCTGGGCTGTATTAGCAGGAGTGTTGCAAGCCAGACATGAGAAGTAATTCTTCCACTCTACTCCGCGCCGATTCGGCCTCAGCTGGAGGATGGTGTCCAGTTGTGGGCGCTGCATGGCAGGAAAGATGTGGACAAACTGGAGAAAGTCCAGAGAAGAGCAACAAACATGATGATAGGTCTAGAAAACCTGACCTGGGAGGGAAGAAAACCTGGATTTGTGCTGGAAATGGCCCAACCTGATGATCACTTTAGATAAGCTATTACCAGCAGGACAGTGGGGTGGGAGGAGGTATAGTTTCATATTCTCTGTGTGTATATAAAGTCTGCTGCAGTTTCCACGGTATGCATCCGATGAAGTGAGCTGTAGCTCACGAAAGCTTATGCTCAAATAAATTGGTTAGTCTCTAAGGGGCCACAAGTACTCCTTTTCTTTTTGCGAATACAGACTAACACGGCTGTTACTCTGAAACCTGAAAAAACTGGGTTTGTTTAGTCTGAAGAAGACTGAGAGGGGACATGAGAACAGTTTTCAAGGACATAAAAGTTTGTTACAAGGAGGAGGGAGAAAAATTGTTCTCTGTAAGGCTCTGAGGACAGGCCAAGAAGCAACGGGCTTAAATTGTAGCCGGGGCGGTTTAGGTTGGACATGAGGAAAAACTTCCGACCTGTTTGGGTGGTGAAGCCCTGGGATAAATTGCCTCGGGAGGAATCTCCGTCATTCCAGATAAGAGAAACCCCTGTCAGGGATGGTCTAGATAATACTTAGTCCTGCCATGAGTGCAGGGGACTGGACTAGACGACCTCTCAAGGGCTCTTCCAGTCCTATGGTTCTATGGAGGGATGGACAGATGGATGGACGGACAGATGGAGGGATGGACAGATGGACGGACGGCTGGATGGAGGGAGGGACGGATGGAGGGATGGATGGATGGTTGGACAGACAGCTCGATGAATGAAGGGACGGATGGACGGAGGGACAGATGGACAGATAGAGGGACGGACGGAGGGATGGATGGATGATGGATGGACAGATGGATGGAGGGAAGGATAGATGGAGAGACAAACAGGCAGATGGGGATGGAGGGATGGAGGGACGGACGGAGAGACAGGTGGAGGGACAGATGGAAGGATGGATGGTTTGATGGAGGGACAGACAGAGGGACAGATGGAGGGAAAGGTGGATGGAGGGACAGACAGACGGAGAGACAGATGGACAGATGAAGGGACAGACAGAGGGATTGATGGATGGTTGGACAGACAGATGGAAGGACAAATGGACAGATGGAGGGACAGACAGAGGGATGGAGGGAAGCATGGAGGGACAAATGGAGGGATGGAGGACAGAGGGACAGACAGACGGAGGGATGGCTGGACAGACAGATTGAGGAATGAATGGATGGAAGGAGGGACAGATGGACAGACGGATGGATGGAGGGACAGACAGACAGATGGACAGATAGATGGACAGACAGAGGAATGGAAGGATGGATGGATGGAGGGACAGAGAGACTGACAGACAGACAGACAGACGAAGGGAGAGACAGACGGAGGGACAGGTGGACAGACGGAGGGACAGGTGGACAGAGGAAGGGAAGGGTGGACAGATGGATGGATGGGGGCGGAGGAGGGAGGGACGGAGGGACTCAGGGACAGACGGAGCGCAGAGGCCCCTGTCTCTGGCTGGGGGGGCTGGGTAACCCCCGGCTGCTGTCGGGTCCAGCCCCCCTGACTGAGCCGGGCCGCGGGCGGGGATTGGGGGCGTGGCTCAGACCCGCCAATTGCGGCGGGCCCACACCCTGACGGGCTGTCGTGGCCCTTTTAAGGCCCCCCCCCACGCCCAAGGAAGCGGATGTGGGGCCAGCCACGTGGGGGAGGGGGAGGAGCGCGGTGGCGGGAGCGGCGGGGACAGGTGGGGCGGGCGGGGGGCTCCGGGGCTGGGGGAGGGGTCCGGGGTGGGGGGATTTGGGGGGGGGGGTCGGGGCTGGGGGAGGGGTCCGGGGTAAGGGGCTGGGGGGATTTGGGGGGCGGGGGTAGGGGGGCTGGGGAGGGGTCGGGCTGGGGGGGATTTGGGGGGGGGGGTAAGCGGGGCTGGTGAGGGGTCCGGGGTAAGGGGCTGGGGGGGATTTGGGGGGCTGGGGGGGGGCTGGTGAGGGGGTGGGGTAAAGGGCTGGGGGGGATTTGGGGGGGGGGGATAAGGGGGCTGGTGAGGGGGTCGGGGTAAGGGGCTGGGGGGGATTTGGGGGGGGGGGTAGCGGGGCTGGTGAGGGGATCCGGGGTAAGGGGCTGGGGGGATTTGGGGGGCTGGGGGGCGGGGCTGGTGAGGGGGTCGGGGTAAAGGGCTGGGGGGATTTGGGGGCGGGGGATAAGCGGGGCTGGTGAGGGGGTCGGGGTAAGGGGCTGGGGGGATTTGGGGGGCGGGGGTAAGTGGGGCTGGTGAGGGGGTCCGGGGTAAGGGGCTGGGGGGGATTTGGGGGGCGGGGGGTAGCGGGGCTGGTGAGGGGGTCCGGGGGTAAGGGGCTGGGGGGATTTGGGGGGGGGGGGTAGGCGGGGCTGGTGAGGGGGTCGGGGTAAGGGGCTGGGGGGGATTTGGGGGCGGGGGTAAGCGGGGCTGGTGAGGGGGTCCGGGGTAAGGGGCTGGGGGGATTTGGGGGCGGGGGTAGGCGGGGCTGGTGAGGGGGTCCGGGGTAAGGGGCTGGGGGGATTTGGGGGGCGGGGGTAAGCGGGGCTGGTGAGGGGGTCCGGGGGTAAGGGGCTGGGGGGGATTTGGGGGGCGGGGGATAAGCGGGGCTGGTGAGGGGGTCCGGGGTAAGGGGCTGGGGGGGATTTGGGGGGCGGGGGATAAGCGGGGCTGGTGAGGGGGTCCGGGGTAAGGGGCTGGGGGGATTTGGGGGCGGGGGTAGGCGGGGCTGGTGAGGGGGTCCGGGGGTAAGGGGCTGGGGGGATTTGGGGGCGGGGGATAAGCGGGGTGGTGAGGGGGTCGGGGTAAGGGGCTGGGGGGGATTTGGGGGCGGGGGTAGGGGGGCTGGTGAGGGGGTCCGGGGTAAAGGGCTGGGGGGGATTTGGGGGCGGGGGTAGGCGGGGCTGGTGGAGGGATCCGGGGTAAGGGGCTGGGGGGATTTGGGGGGCGGGGGTAGGCGGGGCTGGTGAGGGGGTCCGGGGTAAGGGGCTGGGGGGATTTGGGGGGCGGGGGGTAGGCGGGGCTGGTGGAGGGATCCGGGGGTAAGGGGCTGGGGGGGATTTGGGGGGCGGGGGTAAGCGGGGCTGGTGAGGGGGTCCGGGGTAGGGGGCTGGGGGGGATTTGGGGGCGGGGGATAAGCGGGGCTGGTGAGGGGATCTGGGGTAAGGGGCTGGGGGGGATTTGGGGGGTGGGGGATAAGTGGGGCTGGTGAGGGGGTCCGGGGGTAAGGGGCTGGGGGGATTTGGGGGGCGGGGGATAAGCGGGGCTAGTGAGGGGATCTGGGGTAAGGGGCTGGGGGGGATTTGGGGGGTGGGGGATAAGTGGGGCTGGTGAGGGGGTCCGGGGGTAAGGGGCTGGGGGGGATTTGGGGGGCGGGGGGTAGGCGGGGCTGGTGAGGGGGTCCGGGGTAAGGGGCTGGGGGGGATTTGGGGGGCGGGGAATAAGCGGGGCTGGTGAGGGGGTCTGGGGTAAGGGGCTGGGGGGGATTTGGGGGGCGGGGGATAAGCGGGGCTGGTGAGGGGGTCCGGGGTGGGGGGGATTTGGGGGGCGGGGGGTAGGCGGGGCTGGTGGAGGGGTCCGGGGTAGGGGTGTGGGGGAGGATTTGGGGGGCAGGGTTCGTGGAGGGTTTGGGAAGTGAGTGGGGGCTGGGGGGCTTGGTGGAGGGTTGGGGTGCGGGTCCGGTGAGGGGGTCCGGGGTAGGGGGCTGGGGGGTAAGTGGGGCTGGTGGAGGGGTCCGGGGTAGGGGGGTGGGGGAGGATTTGGGGAGTGGGGCTGGTGGAAGGTTTGGGAGGTGAGGGGGAGGCTGGGGACCTCCCCCTGTCGGTCTCTGTCTTTGCGTGCCCCGGGGCGCCCCGGCTCTGTGCAGTGGGGGTCACGGCCTGGCCCTGCCCCACACGGGAGGGGCCAGGCCCAGGACTGACCCCGGTGTCTTTCAGAGCAGAGCCGCCCGGCCCGGCCCAGGAGATGGTGAGTCCGGGGGCGGGGGGAGAACCGGCAGGGCGGGGGGGTGTTGAATTCACAGCTCTGGCTCCACCCTGCACCCCCTCGGTCTGGGGTACCCCAGCAGAGTGTGGGGGTGGAGCAGGAGTCCTGTCCTGGGGGTCACGGTGCTGTTGGCAGCTCCAGGGGTTACTCACAGTTGGGTCGCCCCGGTTGCTCTGACCCAGCCCAGAGTTGGGGGGACCCTCCCCAGCCCGTGTCAGCCCCCTTACAGCCCCCAGTGGCCCCATCCCCTCACCTCCCCAAGGTGCCAGGTGTCGGGCTCAAGCCGCGCCCCTCTGGGGGGTGGGGAGGGATGTGCAGTCCACCTGCCCCCCTTCCGAGTTTGGGGGGGGTCCTGCCCCTGTGGGCCCCCCCCCAGCTCTCCCCGCTCTCTCCCTAGTCGGCCACGCTGGACCTGAAGTCGAAGGAGGAGAAGGACGCGGAGCTGGACAAGCGCATCGAGGCGCTGCGCAAGAAGAACGAGGCGCTCATCAAGCGCTACCAGGTGAGAGCTGGCCCGGGGGGCCTGGGGGGGCCGGGCTGGTGCCCCGGGGAGGGCTGGGCAGAGGCCTTAGAGGTAGGAAAGCCCCAGTGAGTTCCCAGCTCCCCCTCCCCTGCGGTGCCAGCCCCCCCCATCCTGGGGCCAGCCCCGGGGTGTCCGACGGGCCCTGGGGAGCCCTGTAATCTGGCTCATGGGACACACAGGCCCAGCAGCAGCTTAGCCCCGGGGATGGTTTATGTAACACCAGGCGGGGGGGTGGGGGGGCGCTGGTCCTAGAATCCCTGGGGGCCCCCTAAACAAAGACATGGGGGGAGGGGGTTATTTTTTGTGAAGCGAAGGCATCTGGTGCTGGTGGTTGTGGGGGGTTGTGTGCGGGGGGGTTCCTGGCCTGATGTCCAGATCTCGGGCAGCAGGGAAGGGGGTCGGTACCAGTCCAGATGGGTGCACTGGAGTGGGGATACCAGGCTCCAGGGCCAAGATGAGATGCATACATTGGGGAGTCCTGGCTTTTTGCTCTGGGGATCGAGGTGGGGGGGGGCGGGGAGGTACCAGCCCAGCTGGGCCCCTCACCCCGCACTCGGCTCGGGAGCCCCGTCACGTCCCTGCCGCTCCCCGCAGGAGATCGAAGAGGATCGGAAGAAGGCCGAGCAGGAAGGCATCGCGGTGACGGGCTCGCGCCGGCCGCGCCACTCCGAGGGGGAGCCCGAGAGGAAGCGGGCAGACAAGGACCTCTCCATCACTGTCCAGGTCTTGCTGTCTCCTGGGGTGAGCACTGGGGCTGGCTGAGGGGGACGGGACAGCCGCCAATGCATGGGGGGGGCAAGGTAGAGTAGCACTGATCAGTGAGGTGGGGAGGCAGGGCTGCTGGGGGGGGAAGGTAGCCACTGATCAAGAGTGGGGGGTGGGTAAACCAGCGGGGGGGGGCACAGCTGCTGTGGTGGGGGAGGGGGGTGGGGGAGCCAGCAGGGAGGGGCAGGGGGCATGGCTGCTGGGGAGCTGAGGGGTATGGTGATTAGTGTGGGGGGTGAGGAGAACACTAAGTCGGGGTGCTGCAGGGGAGGAGGGTGGGGAGCAGCTGTGGTCGAGCCCTGGTGTTGCACGCCCAGCCCTGGCATCTCACCCTCTGCGTCTCTCCCTCGCCCCAGGAGAAGCGTGTGGTCAGCGACAGGAAGTCCCCCGGCGCGCCCAAGGCCAGCCGTGGCCCCGGTCCCCGGGGTGTGGGGCGGGTCGGCCCGTACCCCTCCAGCCGGTCGCCGCGGGCGGAGCAGCCTGACCTGTCCGTCTGGGAAGGGGCAGGAGGCGGCGGAGGGGATGGGCCATCTCTGGGCGGGCGAGGGCGCAGGCCGCGGGGCCGAGGAGCGGCCGGCGCGGTCACGGCGGCAGGAGAAGGAGGCCCTGACAGGAAATCCAAGGTGCGTCGTGTCTTGCGGGCAGTTTGCCAGGCTGGGCCTAGTTCAGCAATAGTGCGTTGCACGTGCGTTCATGCTCGCTGCACTAGTGCTGGTGGTGTGTGTTGCTTTCTGCTGGGGCAGGTGCCGTGGAGCAGAGAGGGATGAGGGGGTGAAGGGCTCGTAGCAGGACTCTCCCCCAGGGGGTGGGTTGCAGAGTGGGACATGGGGTCTCTCTGGGGGCCACCAGCTCTGAGCCATTGGGGAATGGGACACAGAATCGTAGCAATGCCGGGCTGGGAGGGCCATCGAGAGCTCATCGTGTCCAGCCCCCGGCGCTGAGCCAGGGCCAAGGAAACCTAGACCAGCCCTGGCGGGGTTTGTCTGACCCAGTCTCTCAGCCGCCCGGAGAAGCCTGTTCCAGAGCTGAACTCCCCCGAGAGTTCGAAAGCTTTTCCGGATGTACAGTTATTCCCTGTTTTGTAGCTGGGCGTTTGATTCCGCCCAGCCCCCCCTTCCCAAGGGAAGTGCGAATACTTCACCTGGCTGAATTCAGACCAGTTCTCCAATTGGTCAAGGTCGTTTTGAACCCTAACCCTACCCTCCAAAGTGCTGGCAGCCCCTCCCCTCCAGCCTCCTGGGCGTCATACGCAGACTTGATAAACGTGCACTCTGTTATCCATGTCACTAAGGAAAATATTGACCGGTCCCAGGACTGGCCCCGGCGGGACCCCACTGGATCCGCCCTCCCGGTTTGAGAGCAAACCATGGATAACTCCTCGTAGGGTGCTGTCTCCAACCAGCCAGGCACCCACCTTAGAGTAACTCTATCTAGGCCGCGTTTCCCTGGTTTGTTATGAAACCGCCATGTGGGACAGTGCCAGAAACCTTCCTGAAATCCCAGCATGTCTCGTCTACTGCTTCCCCCTCGCCCGCGCGGTCAGTAATGCTCTGCCGTAGAAGGAAATTCGCTTGAGACAACTCACGCTCTCGCTCTCTCTGCCGGTGTCCCCTGGGCCTGCCGCGGTCTCGCTCCCCTCCCCACGCCAGGAGTGGGAGGAGCGAAGGCGGCAGAATATCGAGAAGATGAACGAGGAGATGGAGAAGATTGCGGAGTATGAGCGGAACCAGCGGGTGAGTGGAGGGCAGGGAGGGGTGGCCAGGTCAGAAACCTCTCTCTCCCCCCCGCCCCGTTTTGCTAGCATTGCTGGGAGGTGCAGGGGGGTTGGTGGATTCCCCCGGGCCTCTAGGCCCCCTGTGCTGGGCCATCTGCACCACAGCGCCCTCCTTGCCGTGGGGCTGGGCGAGATGGTGGGGGAGCCGTGGCTCCGGGCTGACCCTGCCCCTCTGCAGGACGGGCTGCAGGAGAAGAACCCGGTGCGAAATTTCCTGGATGACCCACGGCGCAGCGGCTCCTTCCAGGAGGCCGACCGCAAGGAGGGGAGCCGGCGGCACGTCCGCAACTGGGGGGGGGCCGACTTTGACAAGGTCAAGACTGGCATGGAGCGGGAGAAGGAGTGGCACGCCCCGGTAAGTACCTGGGGGGAGGGGAGCCAAGGGGGGCCCTGCATGGGGGAGGGCCTTGGGGTGGAGGTCTGTGGGAGGGATAGATGGCATGTGGGGAGTGGGGGTGTATCCCAGCCACCTGCCCCTCTGACCAGGGCCAGCTGGAGCCCCGCAGGGCAGGGGCTGTGCCTGGGTGGGAGTGTGTGGGGCGGGGCGGGGATCCCGCCCCACGGCCCTGTGAGACGCCTGTTTCTGGCTGTGAGCCGCGTGTCTCTCTCCCCCTCCCTGCAGGGCCGCCGGCCAGGCCCCAAGAGCGGGGGGCCGCTGGACATGACGCTGTCCATGACGGGCCGGGAGCGTGCTGAGTACATGCGCTGGAAGAAGGAGCGGGAGCAGATAGACCAGGAGCGGCTGGCCCGGCACCGCAAGCCCACGGGCCAGTGGTGCCGGGAGTGGGACGCCGAGAAGACGGACACCATGTAGGAGGGCGGCGCAGCGGGATTCCTGGGGCGGGTGGGGAAGGCCCCAGGGCTGCGCTGGTTCTCGGGGCCTGAGCTGGGTTGCTTGGGGAGGGTGTCGCGGGGGCAAATCGGGCCCGGTCTGAGGAGCGGGGGGCGTGGGGGTGGGGAGAGGGGTCGGCCGTGGCTGCACTAACCTGGCACGCGTCTTTCAGGTTTAAGGAGGGTTGTGGCATAGCACCAGAACCGGACCCGGGCGCCAGGCGTGGTAAGTGACCCCAGGAGCACCAGGGCCCGGTGGAGACTGGGGGGGGCCTCCCCATGGGTGGGGGGATATAGGGGAGGATGTCTGTCTTGGAGGGTGTTTGGTCCCTGTGGGACCTCCCTGGGCCCAGGTGCGAGGAAGCGGGGATGGGGGGGTCCCCTGCTGGACAGCATAGCGGTAGTGGGTGGGTGGGGGACACTGTGCCCTGGGGGCAGGACCCCTGTGTGGGGAGGTCCGTTCCTATGCCCTGGGGCGGACCCACTGGTTCTCCACGGGTTGGACTGGCATTGTGGCCCTGGCAAGGACAGACCCTGGGGTGATCCTGAGGCCTCTGCTCCTGGGAAGCATCGTCCAGCCCTTACCTGCTTCCCCCGCCAGCCACGGGGGCTGGTCCAGGGGCATCCCTGCTGTGAGCTCCCCTGCCCCCGGACCGTTAACTCCTGCTGCCCTCTCCTCTCAGACGAGAACAAGCGCCCCCCCAGACCGCCCACCTTCGGGGAGTTCCTGTCCGAGCACCGGGCCGAGCGCAGGAGGAAGGGCCGGGGCCGACCCGCGCCCACCAAGCCTTACAGGTGAGTCCGCCTTTGCCCTGCTGTGTGAGGGACGAGGGCCGGACTCCTGGGTTCCATTCCTGGCTCTGGGCGGAGGGAGTGGGGTCGGGTAAGTTAGAGCGCTGGAGGTGCCGGGGGGCTGGGAGCCAGGACTCCTGGGTTCTGTCCCTATTTAAGCCACTAACTCCCTGTGTGACCAAGGGGGAGGGGGGCTCTCACTGCACCCCAGTTTCTCTGGGGCTGGTGTGAACCCCTCCTGGGCTAGTTGGCCCTGTTCGTTGGTGTGTCCTGTCCTGTCCGTCCGTGTCCCCCCTCTCACCCCCCCCCAGCTTGTGGGGCAGTTCCCTCCCCCAGCCAGGGAACAGCCCCCTGGGGGCCAGGCTCTGCAGTGCAAGGTGGGGCAGGTGCTGAATGGGGACTGGCTGGGTTGGGCCCTCCTGATGCCTGTTCCTCCCCCGCCCAGCATGCATGACAACCGGTGGGAGGAGAAGGACGAGGGGCCGGTGGCCAAGGAGCTCGACCCCCGCCACGAGGAGCCGCAGGTAAGTGGGGGCGGGGGTCCAGCCATGGCCATTCGGGGAGACCCCACCCTTCCCCTGGTCCTCTTCATAGGTGGCTTGGTCTGCAGCTGTTCCCCCATGTCTCCCTACAGCCCCTTGTCTCCTACAGGCCCCACTTCCCCCAGTCCTGTCATGGAGACTCACCCTCACAGGATCAGGCCCCGTCCCCTGCCCCCAGCCCCAGCCCCCTAGGTCCCGCTGCCCCTCGCTGTCTGAACGTCTCTGCCCTGCCTTGTGCCAGCAGACGGAGGGACTGGCCCCCCAGCTGCCCCCCGAGCCCCAGCAGCCCCCCGATGAGGATGAGGATCAGTGGGAGGATGTCAGTGAGGAGGATGACGATGAAGGCCATCTCAGCTCGTTGGGCGAGGAGGAGGAGGTGCCCCCGTGGGAGCCCCGAAAGCCCCGCGGGCTCCGAAGGTTGGGCGTGGCCCGGCCCCCAAGTTGGACATGCCACCACCTGGAGCCCATGGAGGACAGGGCAAAGCCCTCAGCCCCTTCTCCCCAGCTGAGGGCTACCAGCCTGTCTCAGACTGGGGCGAGGAGATGGAGCTGAACTCGCCCCGGGGCAGTGTGGGGGACAGCACCCCGCAGGGCCCCGGCCCCGCCCCCCAGGCACAGGGGGCAGGGCCCCCTGGAGAGGCTGCAGGTAAGAGGCACTGGCTGGGCCCTGCCGGTGGGAGGGGAGGAGAGCCTGTGTATTGGGGGGGCACGTATCGGCCTGGTCTGGCTTGGGGCGTTTGCCCTGTAGGGGCAATGTGGTGGTGTGGGACTTGGGGTGCAGTCCCAGTGGGATGGGGGAGCAGGAGTTAACAGTGGGAAGGGGTCACAGGGTGGGAGTACTGGGGGGGCATCACCCCAGGAAATAATGGCTCCCATCTCCCCGCAGGGCCGAGCCCCCCAGCTGCGGAGCCAGGCGGGTGGGGCACGGCTGAGCCCGTGGAGACTGGACGGCAGGAGGAGCCGGCTCGGGCAGGGGGATCGATGATGCTAGCAGCCCCTGGCAGCACGGAGAGGCGGGAGCTGGCCACCCCCGCAGCTGGGAGCCCTGAGGAGCTGGGGGTTCCTGCGATGCAAGGTGCTGGGGGGGCAGGGTCTGGAGATGGGGGCTCGGGGCAAGAGCTGGCAGGGGGGAGGGGAGTCTCCCCTTTGGCCTCCGGGGAACCATGGCTGGGCTGGTGGCAGAGTGGGCGGGGTGGGCTACGTGCTGGGCTCACCCCCCGGGGGCGCTCACCCCCAGCCAGGAGGGAACCATGTGCTCCTGGGCTGGGGTGATGGGGTGGGGGTGGGTTTGCCCGCAGCCCCCGGCTGCTGATGCTCTCTCCCTCCCGTCCCCAGGAGCCGCGGAGACCCTGAGCCAGCTGGAGCCGGAGCCGGCACTGGGTGTGGTGCAAATCACAGACGTGGAGCGGGTGTGTTTCCGTAAGACCTCGTCCTTGCCCGCTGGCCGCTAGCGGGACTCGCCCCTTCTCTGTCCCTCTGCTTCTTCGCGGCCCCCGCTGGCCGGGGTGCTCCCGCTGCGGATTGACCCACCTGCCGTGCTGGGCCCAGACAGGGAACGGCTCGCTCTGTCACGGGGATAGGCAGATCCCCAACAGGGAAACCGGCCGCAGCCTGTCCCGGGGCTGCTGCGCGTTCCTGTCCCGGGGCTGGTGGCTGTGCCAGGCCCCTTCGTGCCTCTGACGGGGCAGCTAACCCGGGGCCTGAGTCTGCTGGCAGCGGGGTGGTGGGAGATTGACTTCGGGGGAGCAGGATCAGGCTGGGGTCTGGTCTGAGGACATGGCAAAGCAGCAGCTGCCACTGGGCCACCAAGGGGCGAGCAACTTTAGCCGCTGGGCCTCCCACCTGGGAGCTCTCCACTGCGGTCCGTACTGCAGCATCTGCTGGGGTGTGGGGTGATATCCATGGCCAGGATTTGAACTCACAGCACTGTCTGTCTCTCTGTCTCCCCGTTTGACAGGATAATGGAGAGCCCTGATGCCCCAGAGCCACCCTCCCACCCCCCCGACATGAGGCCAGGCGGCTCCCTCTATGACTTCCACAGAGCGGTAGAGCCTCTTTCCAGAGCCGTGCGGGCAGGATGTGCTTTGAGGCTCAGCTGTCTGGGTTAACCTCCCTGGGGATGCAGGGCTGGGTGGGTGTGTGGGTGGCCTGGAGGGTTTATTCTGGTGGGAATTGCATGACACCGAGCAGGTGGGTGAGGAGGTTGTTCCAGTAACCGGCAGTAAACGTCTGGGATCCGACGTGCATCTGTCCGCAATGAACCTCCCCTGCTGGTGTCTGGGATGGCTGCCCCTGGCTCACCCTGCCCCCCTAGCTCCGAAGTCCAAATGAGGGTTGTGTGTTAACCGGGGGCATGTGTGTGGTCCCCAGCCATGGCTAGCCCTGTCCAAGCACTACTAGCCAATGTCTCCTGTGCTGGGAGGGCTGGAGCCAGCCGCGCTTTGCCCCTTCTCAGCTGTAACCATTGCAAGGGGCTGTTCTTGGGCTGGCTGAATGTGTCCCCATCCTTCTGGTCTGCGCTCCTGAGGAGCCGGTTCCACCCACTGCTGTGCAGACCGTGAACCCTTTCCACAGGGGGTAGAACTCCCGCACCCTGCTCGCTGGGGGCAGGAGCCTCGGGCGAGAGGTGTCTTCACTCCCCGGTGCTGCCCTGGGATGCTTGGTTGTCCTGCCCAGGTCTCCCGCGGTGTCCGGCCGCTTTCGATCATGTAAAAGCAATGCCAATGTACCGGACTTTCTTACAATAAAACCTTCACCAAGCCGCTGGGCCTGGCTGCGTCAGGTCCTTCCTGGGGGAAGGGGTTGGGGCGGCAGCTCGGGTGATGTGTGCCCCGCACAGCTCTGAGAATGCAGCTTGAAGGGGTGGGGGCGTGTGACTTGACAAATCTCTTAATGGGGCAGCCTGCGCTCCTGGGCACGGCCGTGGGCATGGGCAGCCTTGGAGGTGGCCCTTCACTTGGGCACATGCTCCCTGTGGAATCCGTCTGGGCGTAGCCAGCAGGGCTGTCCTTTTGAGACAGAAATCTGGGTAGCTGGTGCTTTCTGTACCTGTTAAACGCGGGGCCCTGGCCAGGTTCCAGCATTGCTAATTAACCCCCTATCCTAAGCCACCTTCCCGCAGAACGTTTAAAGGGGCTGTGGCTGCATCTCATGGAAGGGTGCAGCCGTTACGGCTTCCACCCCAGAGAAAGCTGCAGTACCGTGGGTGATCTCTGGGTAAAGCCCCGGAGGCTCCCTGGGGTGACGGGCGCTGGGTAAATGTAGCTGGTTTGGTGGAACCAGCAGGAGCACTGGAGTAACGTGCGTGGGCGGCTGCCACCTGCCAGACCCCCGTGCTAAACCTGGTTTCAAATCCGTTAATAGGTTTAATCTCCTGGACGTCCGCCCCTACAGTGGGGACCAGAGGAGCTCAGCCGGCTGGGTGCAGAGCTGGCCCTCGCTCCCGTCTAACACAGCCAAGCCTCTCTCCCCAGCACAGTTTGGCTCACGGGTGCTCGGGAGGCGCTGCAGCCGGTCTGGGTGCTCAGATCGCTCAGCTCCTGGTGACGCGGGAGCAGTCGCTCTTCGTCCGAGGGGAGGATTGTGGTTCCCTGGAAGCTACAAAGGGACCTCACAAAACTGGGTGACCAGGCAACAAAATAGCAGATGAAATTTAATGTTGCTAAATGAAAAGTGATGCACCTTGGAAAACATCATCCCACCTCTACTTACAGGACGGGGTCTGAATTAGCTGTTACCATTCCAGAGAGATCTCGGAGTCACTCAGAGTCACGGTAACGCTGAACACACCCGGTCAATGTGCGGCGGCAGCCAAAAAAGCGAACAGAGTATTCGGCATCATTAAGAAAGGGGGAGATATGGCAGAAAATATCATGTTGCCTCTGTATCAATCCATGGTACGGCAGTGTCTTGACCACATCCACACGCAGTATTCACCCCATGTAGCGGGCGGTCACCCTGTTCTGGCCCTGAAGAGGTTAAAAGCCAGCCCTTGGAGCCAATCGGGTCCGTCTGGGCCCTATAAAAGAGCCCTATAAAAGAGCGGCAGGGCCAGAAGGCAGTCAGTCTCTCTCTGGCTTTGGAGAGAGATGGACCTGGCTGCCAGAAGCGGGGGCGGGGACAGAACAGTGCTGGAGAAGGGGCAGGCTGAGCTGGGGAGCTCAGCCTGGCAGGAAGGCCTAGGGAGGGTCTGGGGCAGCAGGCCCAAACCCCCTTTGCCAATGATGAGTGGCCATCATGAAGGGCAGTTTGCCCCAGAGAAAGAGGACTAGAGGATGACTGGCAGTAGCCACTGAGGCAAGGTGGGCATGGGGGAGGGGGTTCCCTGGAGAAGGGAGACCCAGAGTGTAGGGTGCTGCTGTGAGCAGGACCCCAAGGGAAAGGGGTGCCAGGGTCTGGGAGGGACACAGAGGCCTGAGGCAGATGAGACGCTGGTCAGCAGGGGGTGCTCCAAGGCTGAGAAGAGCAAATTCCCAGACTGACTAGCAGGAGGTGCCATGGTGGTGAGTGCTCAATCTGCTACGCCCCATCTCAAAAAAGGTAGATTAGAATTGGAAAAGGTTCAGAAAAGGGCAACAACAACGATCGGGGGCTGGAACGGCTGCTGCATGAGGAGAGATGAATAAGACGGGGACTTCTCAGCTTGGAAAAGAGACGACCGGGGGTGGGGATAGGGTCGAGGTCTGTAAAATCATGACCGGTGTGGAGAAAGTCAATCAGGAAGTGTTGTTTACGCCTCGTAACACAAGAACTAGGGGTCACCAAATGAAATTAATGGGCAGCGGGTTTAAAACAAACCAAAGGAAGCATTTCTTCACACAACGCACAGTCAACCTGCGGAACTCCTTGCCAGAGGATGTTGTGAAGGCCAAGACTATCAACAGGGTTCAAAAAAGAACTAGATAAGTTCATGGAGGATAGGTCCATCAATGGCTATTAGCCAGGCTGGGCAGGGATGGTGTCCCTAGCCTCTGTTTGCCAGAAGCTGGGAATGGGCGACAGGGGATGGATCACTGGGTGATTCCCTGTTCTCTTCATTGCCTCTCGGGCACCTGGCACTGGCCGCTGTTGGCAGCCAGGACACTGGGCTAGACGGACCTTTGGTCGGAGCCGGTCTGCTGCAGGCCCTGGCTTTCCATGTACAGAGCACACCTGCCATGAGCCCCTGGCCATGGACACAGCACAGCTCTCGGAGGCTAATGTGATCCCTGCCCACGCTGCGGGCACCACATGGCCCCACCCTGCCCCTCTGGAGCCAGCGTGTTTCTTAGCTGTAGTGGGGACAGGGAGGTGTTAGAAATCCAGGAAAGTTGGCTTCCTTAAGACCACAAGGACAGGGCAGGTACAGATGCCTCTCTGCGAGCAGCCGTTCAGTCCCCAGACATGTCTCTCAAACGGGTGCAGGCTGGAGCGTTCATTGCAACGATTAAGGCTGTGATTCTTTCATGGAGGTCATGGAAGTCACGGATTCCGTGACTTTCGGTGACTTCCGCAGTGGCTGGTGCAGCTGACTTCAGGGCCAGCTACTCAGGCGACCCACGGGCCACAGTCAGCAACACCAGCCGCTACTGGAATGACCTGGAGCCAGCTGCTCCAGTGGTCCCTGGGGCCAGCTGCACCAGCCAGTGCTCGGGACACTCTGGGCAACTGGCTCTGGGGACTGCCCAAGCAGCAGTCCTGGGGGCAACCTCGGGGAGCGCCAGAACAGTGGTCCTAGGGGTGCCCTGGGGACCGTCCGAGCAGCAGGGGTCCTGGGGCAGCTGGAGCAGTGGCCCCAGGGGTGCCCGGAGAGCAGTCCCGGGAGCAGCAGCTGTGGGGCAGTCAACCCCCAGCACTGGAGCAGCGGGGCCCCAGAAGTAGAGGTTTAGACGGGTATCTTTGGTAAAACTCCTGGACAGGTCACAAGCAATAAATAAAAATTCACTATCTGTGACCTGTCCAGGACTTTTACCCCAAATGCCCGTGACTACATCTTAGCCTTAGCACTAATGCACGGAGCTCCCTGCGCTGACTGGGTTACAGCACGGAGCTGGGTTCTGTTCCCACCTCTGCCACAGCGCTGCTGGAGGACCTTAGGCAAATCCCTTCTCCCTGTGCCTTAGCTCCCCAGCTGTGAAAGGGATCAACTGCGGTGAGGGACGCCGGTCAGGCAGAGCCCTGGAGCTCCCAGCCACTGCCAGCTGGTGATGCCCGGAAGGGGGGAGGCCCCTGCTGTGCCGTGGTAGCCCCTGGAAGGTGCAGTGGGGCCAGGCACTGCGCCTACACTAGGCCCAGAGTCACTCCCTGGCCCCTGCCATGCAGCCCCCCTGCTGCTGCTGGGATTCTCCAGGGAGGATTGGCCGCGTCATTGGGGTCCCTGGAGCCAGGCGTGTGGAGCTCCCCTGCCAAGGGGATGGCGCACCCGTGTGGAGCCTGCCCAGCGTGGGATTCGGGGCCGGAAGGGTGACAGGGATGTTGCTGCAGGTGGCAGGTGCTGACTGGTCAGGGATGGGGGTGCGGGCGAGGGTCCCCAGGTGCCCCAGAGCCGCGCACTCTTCTCCAGCCCAAGCCCCCTGCCCTGGGGTGGGGTGGAGAGGCACCTGTGCCGGGAGCGGGGTGGGGAAGAGGGTCCTTGCAGCCCCCAGAGCTCAGGGGGTGCTTCCTATTCCTGGGGGATGCATAGGTGTCCCTCCCTTCTTTGCTCTGCAGCCAGGCGCGGGCAGATTCCTTGGAGGCTGAGACTAGGTGCAGGCTCTGCAGTCAAAGAGATACCCCCACTCCCACAGCATTAAGGGGGGCAGAGCTCTGTCTCCTGGGGACCGGATGGGGTGGTGAGCCGGCAGGGCGCCGAGGGGAGGGGGCTGGTCTGGGCCCTGCCGCCGTGGGGGCAGTCTGGGTGGGAGAGGCTGGCATGGCGCAGGGGGGCCGGGGCCGGCCCAGCGCGGGGGGCGGGTCTGGCACGGGGCGGGTCCGGGTCCGGCACGGGAGTGGGGGCGGGGGAGAGGCGAGGCTGCCCAGAGCGGGCAGGGCTCGGACGGGGCCGGCAGGACAGGAGTTTCGCGGGCGCCCCGGGCCGCGCCAGCCTCCCCCGTGCGCCCTGGGCGCAGCCGGCATGAAGCAGCGGGAGGGAGACGGGCCCGGGCAGCCGGTGCCCCCCAGCTACGCCGGGGATCGGCCGCGGGGGGGCGGGAAGCTGCTGCTGGGGGGGGGCCGGGCCCCCCCGCGCTGGCTGCGCGTCGCCACCGTCTGCGCCTATTTCCTCTGCGTCTCGCTGGCCGCGCTGCTCCTGGTGATTTACTACGGGCTGGTGTGGGCGCCGCGGGGCCCCGGCGCGGAGAACGGCACCGCGCCCGGCCCGCAGGCCCCGCGGCTCTGCAACCACAGCGGGCCCGGGCAGCGGCTGCAGGCGGCGGCGGGGGCCCCGGGGGGCGGCCCGCGGCCCGCGCAGGAGGAGAGGCGAGGGCAGCCGGGCCCCGCGGGGCGCACGGGCTGGAGAGGCCGCGACTGGACCCACTGAGGCGCCGGAGGATGGAGCCGCCCCTGGCCGTGGGACCGAGCCGGGGCAGGAGGCAGCAGCCCCCCCGGCGGGATGAGACCAGGACGGAGCCGGGGCCCGCGGCCTGGGCGCAAAGGGCTCCCCACGCATCGCTCGGGGCGCGGAGCGGGGACCCCCTCGGCGGCCGCAGGAGCCGGACGGTGGAAGCCCCAAAGCGCAGAGACGGCGGGGGGCAGGTGTCCCCCCCACTTCCGGGAGAGGCGCCCAGAAAAGTCCAAACAGCCTCAGGAGGCGGCCAAGGCCAGGCCCGGGAGAGGCGCAGCTGGGGCGGGGCCGCGTGTGGACTGGCTGAGCCGGGAGAAGGGCCTGGAGGCCCCCGGGGGGCAGGAGGCTAACCTAGCAGCATAGCCCCCCCGCCCCCAAGGCACCGTGTGCTGGCGCCGGCAGCCTGGGGTGCTTTGGGTGTCAAGGCCATAATGGACTCAGACTCCCAGGGCCACCGGTCTGTGGGGCCCGGACTGCGGGCCTTGGGCTCAGCAAATCCTGTATCCTTCTGTCTGTCTGTCTGTCTGTCTGTCTAATAAACCACTCGCTGCTCCTGCCCAGCCTGTGTCCTGCGCCGTGCCATTAAACTTACCCATGGGTAGGGGGCATGGGAGCAGGGGGCGGGGTGGGGGTGGAATTGCAGGGAGCAGGGTGAGGGGTGGGAGTTGCATGGAGCAGGGGGCGTTGCAGGGTGAGCAGGGTGGGTTGCAGGGAGCAGGGTGAGGGGTGGGAATTGCAGGGGGGTTGCAGGAAACAGGGGGAGGGGTGGGAGTTGCAGGGGGAGGGAGAGACCGTGTCACTTTAGCCCATTCCCATCTGTGGGAGTCGTCGCATCCAGACTGGCAGTCAGCAGATACCCTCCAGTCTCCATATTCCATACAGCATCGCACCCCCATGCAAAATTGATGCAGAAAGGGGTGTCCCTGGGCACTGCTGAAGGCTTCACAGGAATTTTTCATTCAGTATTGTGACGGGTTGGGTCACAGAAATCCCTTTGGGGCTGCCACCTGGTGTGCCTAGACTATGTCTGAGCCTGTTTTCCCTGCCAGCTTGGGACCTCAGTGCCCTGCCTGGTTTGAGCCAGACACGCTAGCCTGCTGCAACCCAGACCCAGGCCTGAACTACGTCCCCTGCAAGCTTAACTGAAAACAGCTTAAGAAGTGCTCCTGTCTCCAGCACTCAGGTACCCAGCTCCCAATGGGGTCCAAACCCCAAATACATCCGTTTTACCCTGTATAAAGCTTAAATTGTTTGCCCTCTATAACACTGAGAGAGAGATATGCACAGCTGTTTGCACCCCCCCCCCCGGTATTAATACATACTCTGGGTTAATTAAAAAAGTAAAAAGTTATTTTATTAAATACAAGAAGTGGGATTTAAGTAGTTCCAAGTAATAACAGACAGAACAAAGTGAATTACCCAGCAAAATAAAACAAAACATGCAATACAGTAAGAAAACTGAATACAGATAAAAATGCCACCCTCAGAGGTGTTGCAATAAGCTTCTATCACAGACTGGACGCCTTCCTAGTCAGGGCCCAACCCTTTCCCCTGGTACAGCCCTTGTTCCAGCTCAGATGGCAGTTTAACATCAACTTTATCCATATGTAACAGAAATGGTTTATCACAATCAGCTTTGACTCAAACAGACTTTTTTTGGTAAGGTTTATCATGGAAATAACAATGTTACTGAATCCCTTTACAAACTCGTGGTAATATTTGACTGGGTCAATAGTGGCTTGGGCCTTTCGTGATCTCGCCAGGAGTTCTAGAAAATAGCTAGTTTATCCCTGTAAGCTACGACCTGGTGTATCTTCTGTGCCAACGACTAGGCAAATCTTCCCCCCTCCCTTGTCAGCCAGGGTAATTTGCATCAAGTGACACTAGTTTTCAAATTCTCATCATTGTGCATGCCGCAAAATTTCTTTCCCTTTCTTAGAGTTGACTCATCCTTCCCGTCAGCAGGATCGGGTCCTTTCCCCCTCACCTTTCTCCTAAAGAGTTGAGAGCTGAACCTCCCTGCTTACAAGAACCCTTTGGCTGGCTAGGTGTGTCCACCAACTGCAGCCCCTCTGGGCTCCAAGCATCTACACAGATGCTCTCCTGCATTCTTGCTTTCAGATCTACCACCCCCGCCAGCTTAGAGACTGGACTCTGTTTACAGGGACATAATCAATCAATCCCTACCAACAAGTCAGAATCAGAATTCTGCTTACTCTCCACTCCCCACTCTTGGTTCCACATCGGAGCAGACGGGCCCGAGCCCACCTCTGGCCCCTCTCCCTGCTCCTAAGGGCTGAACTAGGCAATTTGCCCGCAGAGCCCTGGAGCTTCCTGTTCGCGGCGTTATAAAACCTCAGCGTTCGTTGCCTGTCGGCGCTTGGGAAAATCGCCTGCGCCCGGACGCAGCCCACGGGGTCTGGGCACACGGGGTGAGTGCTTGCTTAGCTCTGTGCCGCTGTTATGTTGATAAAACAACACTGGATCTTTTCAGGGGACAAGGCAATATGCCATGATTATTATGATAACACAATTTGATTTATAACCAATAGCTAATATCTAATACCTATATACCCATACCCAGTCGCACCCCCACCCAATGTTCTGCAGATGCTGTACAGTCACCTGTTCTGAACGTAGCTTGAGTCCGTAGCTTGATTTCGCAGCTTGGGATTGTAGCTCGTGGCGGCTAACTGTCCAGGAAAGCTGGGCACGAGGAAGAGCCAGGTCTCTGTCGATCGCGCACCGATGCCCTTCCATGTTGGCAGCAGAACGTTACCCAAAGTCTTCCATCTCCCCCATCCTTTTCGTAGGCTTCAGTTTGAACAAGCGTCTGTGGGCCTTGCTGTGTCACGCTGCCTCTGGGTCCTGTGTGGTTGATCACCCATCAATTGCAGACGTGACTTTCAGCCTTGGACCTGGCTTTGATCTTGTTTCCATTGCAACTTTGTTCTGTTTTTTTACGGTGGACTCTTCTCACTCTTCTCATGCATCCGACAAAGTGGGTATTCACCCACGAAAGCTTATGCTCCAATACGTCTGTTAGTCTATAAGGTGCCACAAGACCCTTTAAAAAGAACAGGAGGACTTGTGGCACCTTAGAGACGAACAAATTTATTTGAGCATAAGCTTTTGTGAGCTATAGCTCACTTCATCGGATGCTTGCAGTGGAAAATACAGTGGGGAGATTTATATACACAGAGAACATGAAACAATGGGTGTTACCATACACACCGTAATAAGAGTGATTGCTTAAGGTGAGCTATTACCAGCAGGAGAGTGGGGTGGGGTGGGGGGGGGGCACGGACCTTTTGTAGTGATAATCAAGGTGGGCCATTTCCAGCATTTGACAAGAACGTCTGAGGAACGGTGGGGGGTGGGGAAATAAACATGGGGAAATAGTTTTACTTTGTGTAATGACCCATCCACTCCCAGTCTTTATTCAAGCCTAAGTTAATTGTATCCAGTTTGCAAATTAATTCCAATTCAGCAGTCTCTCGTTGTCCATTTATTCTTTTTACTGTCCAGTTTGACCAGTGTACATGGCAGAGGGGCATTGCTGGCACATGATCGCATAGATCACATTGGTAGATGCGCAGGTGAACGAGCCTCTGATAGTGTGGCTGATGTGATTAGGCCCTATGATGGTGTCCCCTGAATAGATATGTGGACACAGTTGGCGACGGGCTTTGTTGCAAGGATAGGTTCCTGGGTTAGTGGTTCTGTTGTGTGGTGTGTGGTTGTTGGTGAGTATTTGCTTCAGGTTGGGGGGCTGTCTGTAAGCAAGGACTGGCCTGTCTCCCAAGATCTGTGAGAGTGATTGGTCGTCCTTCAGGATAGGTTGTAGATCCTTGATGGTGCATTGGAGGGGTTTTAGTTGGGGGCTGAAGGTGACGGCTAGTGGCGTTCTGCACCTATCCTTGCAACAAAGCCCGTTGCCAACTGTGCCCACATATCTATTCAGGGGACACCATCACAGGGCCTAATCACATCAGCCACACTATCAGAGGCTCGTTCACCTGCACATCTACCACTGTGATATATGCCATCATGTGCCAGCAATGCCCCTCTGCCATGTACATTGGCCAAACTGGACAGTCTCTACGTAAAAGAATAAATGGACACAAATCAGACGTCAAGAATTATAACATTCAAAAACCAGTCGGAGAACACTTCAATCTCTTTGGTCACTCGATTACAGACCTAAAAGTCGCAATATTACCACAAAAAGACTTCAGAAACAGACTCCAAGGACAGGTTTCAGAGGAACAGCCGTGTTAGTCTGTATTCGCAAAAAGAAAAGGAGTATTTGTGGCACCTTAGAGGAGAGACTGCTGAATTGGAATTAATCTGCAAATTGGATACAATTAACTTAGGCTTGAATAAAGACTGGGAGTGGATGGGTCATTACACAAAGTAAAACTATTTCCCCATGTTTATTCCCCCCCGCCCTGCTGTTCCTCAGACGTTCTTATCAACTGCTGGAAATGGCCCACCTTGATTATCACTACAAAAGGTCCGTTCCCCACCCCCCACTCTCCTGCTGGTAATAGCTCACCTTACCTGATCACTCTCGTTACAGTGTGTATGGTAGCACCCATTGTTTCATGTGCTCTGTGTATATAAATCTCCCCACTGTATTTTCCAATGAATGTATCCGATGAAGTGAACTGTAGCTCACGACAGCTTATGCTCAAATAAATTGGTTAGTCTCTAAGGTGCCACAAGTCCTCCTGTTCTTTTTGCGGATACAGACTAACACGGCTGCTACTCTGAAAAAAGACTCTTTGCTGCTTTTACAGATCCAGACTAACACAGCTACCCCTCTGATGCTCTTCTCACTTTGTAAGGGCTGTTGTCTGCATCTTCAGCCGTTGGTGTTTGCACTTCACCTGATCAGGACAGGCTGTGGCTGGAGGTTGATTCCATTATCCATGCATCCCTCAGTCACACATCTGAACTAAGTTAATAAGGTTACAGCAGGTTTTGCAAAATGGACTAAGCATTTCAAAATGGAGTTTTAGTTACAATATGGAAAAAACAACTTCATTCTTTAGCTCTCCACTGCGGGCCCGGAGCCATCTCTTCTCGGGGGCGTGGTGGGGCCTTCCAGCGGGGAACAGCCGAGCCCATGGGGCAAATGCTGGTGTCTTCCAGCCTGCACTTCGTGGGCAGCAGCTCCTCCACAGGACATATTCAAAGGGTTTAGGGGTGAGATTCTGTCTGCTCCCCCCTGCATCCTCGTGCCAGAACTGGGGTGTGTCCCCCATGCAGCATTTCCCACAGCTACTGTGCTGAGCTGGAGAGTGGCATGGCCATCCGGGGGCACGGCCAGCTGGGACAACCCAGCAGGCGGAAAATGGGGCTCCATCAGGGTACAGAGCCGCAGAGAACAGAACCCAGGAGCCCTGTTGCTCTGACCACTAGCCCCTGCCGCTCTAAACCATTAGCTCCTCTGCCTAGCTCTGGGGCTAGGACCCTGGAGTCCTGGGTCCCAGTGCGGGGGAGGGGAGGTGGGACCCCCGGTGGCTAATGAAGAGACGGCCCAGGTGCCCGTTTTCACTCGCACAGGTGCAATTGTGGAGTTTCTGAGGTAGGAACGCAGAAGCAGAATTAGGCCTGAAGTGGGCCCCTGCCCCGCCCCCTGCAGCTAGCAAAGGCCTCTCAGCTGGGAGGGCTGCAGGTAGCTACCCCAGAGGAGTCCTGTGTTCCTGCCCCAGCTCTGGGAGGGGGCTACAGTCTGAGGGGTCCCTCTGCTTCCTTCTCTCCTGGGTAGAAGGAGATGGAGGTAGGGCTGGTTCCTACCCACCCTCCTGTAGCTATCCCCCATTGCTGCAGCCTCAGCAGAGGAGACATCTGAATGGGCCTGGGCTGGAGTCCCCCCCAGAGGGTCCCTCAGGGCAGGGCCAAAATGCATCAATGGGGCTTGGGTTCTGTGGGTAGCGCCCAAGGTGCAGACAGCTGGGAGGCCCCATGGCAAGGAGCTCACAGCTGGGCGAGAGTGCGGGGCACTATGCCCTCCCTAGCGCTGCAGCAGGAAGCAGGTTGAGATGAGGTTTTTGCAAGGGGAGACTCTCTCCGGCCCCAGGCTGGCCCCAGCTGCCCACACTGTCTGCAGCGACATGGCTGCTGGCAGCAGACAGGTGTCCCGCCATGCCTCAGTGGCTCTGAGACGCCGGGGCGGAAGGCTCATGTGAGCCAAAACCTCACCCGCTTGGCTGGGTGAGTTAATCTCCCCAGGATGCAATTTGGTTCCAGACAGCCCCTTTGAGATCTCCTGTGTCCGACTCGTCTGTCTGCGCAGGGTCCCTCTGCCATCATCGCCCCCGTCCTGAGCAGGTGTGTGTCAGGCGGGGAGCTGAGAGTGTAACTTGCACTGTCACTTACCCCACGGCAGAGTGTAGCTGTTCTGACCCGGGGGGCGTTTCACGGGTGTAAACACCTGCATGACATGGTGGGGGATGGAGAACAGGGCCCTAGTGAGGCCCAGAATGGTTTAGGTGTGGGTGGCAGCACCGGGAATCGAACCCAGAGCTCCAGGAATGGGGGTGGAAGCCTCCACCACAGCCAGGTTCCTTTCTGGGCTGCCACCCCATCTCTGACCCCTCTCCCTGCTCCTAAGGGCTGAACTAGGCAATTTGCCTGCAGAGCCCTGGAGCTTCCTGTTTGCGGCATTATAAAACCTCAGCGTTCGCTGCCTGTCGGCACTTGGGAAAATCGCCTGCAGCCCGGACGCAGCCCGTGGGGTCTGGGCACACGGGGTGAGTGCTTGCTTAGCTCTGTGCCGCGGGCCCAGAGCCATCTCTTCTCAGGGGCGTGGGGGGCTTTCCAGCCGGGAACAGCCGAGCCCATGGGGCAAATGTCGGTGTCTTCCAGCCTGCACTTTGCGGGCGGCTTCTGTCCAGCCGCTCTGGCATTGTCATTATCTCAGACAGGCACAAGTTGCTGTGGTTAGGCTGGTTTGGGCCTCAAAGCTTGTTAAGCTGCTCAGGGCGTTGCTGAAAGTGGCCTGATGAAAGGAGGGTGTCTATCAGAATCCAGGTGAGGCGGTGCCACCCACCTTAAGTGCGGGCTCTGGGCTGGCACTCCTAGATCATTTGCTTTTTCCCCCCGGTCCCTTGGGCTTGCTCTGATAGTCTGCCCGCAAATCAGCAGCGCCTGCTCCCGGACCAGCCGTGTCCCAGGTCAGGGTTTGCCTGTCCCGGTGGCTGCATTTGGGGTAGGAGCTTTCGATAGGCTACGGGTCAGCCTGTGAGTTCTTGGAACGGTCTCGGGGTTTGTCCATGGTGTGGCAAGCCTGTTCGGTTTGATGCTGGCAGCTCAATTCCTGGCACCCGCGTCTTCTCTTCTCTAATGGGCAACCATTATTCGTCGCTGCAGCACAACAAGTCTTGAGCTGCCTCTGCACAGGTGAGGTTTTTGGTATGACTGAGGTATGAATGTAAAGTGGTGCGGTTATACTGGTGTCACTCCCGTGTAGACACACGTATTCCGCATCAGGGCAGCCACTTTTCAGGGTAGTTGAGGTTGCCTGGGGAGGAGTTGGCGCTAACCAGAAGAAGCCCCTCGGATACCTCAGTGCCCCCTTGGCGGCTTACCCCAGCGTAACGCAGTTGGTGGAACTGGTCACACTTCCCTTTGTGGACCAGGCTTGAGATTTTCCCCTGCACCAGGGATTTGGTTCTGGTTCTGGTTCTGTGTTTGCGAAACTGGATTGCTCTGTGGCTTGAAACTCTGCAGCATCGGAGCTGCTGTCTGCCTTGGGCTAAAGAGCCCCATTTCTGCACCTTTAGCTCTGTGAGAACTGTACATGCTGACATGCAGTCACCTGCTCTGGCCACTAGACTCCACTGCCCTCCCAGAGCTGGGGGGGATAGAACCCAGGAGTCCTGGCTCCCAGCCCCCTGCTCTGACCCACTAGCCCCCACGCCCCTTCCAGAGCTGGGAATAGAGCCCAGGAGTCCTGGCTCCCATCAGCCCCTGGGTAACCAATAGCTCCCACTCCCCTCCCAGAGCTGGGGAGCGAATCCGTGAATCTGAGGTTGTGCTGTTGCGCGATCACATTATTCCTGTCGCCAGCCTAAAGCAGGGGAGATCCCGAGCTCAGGCACTTGCTGCTACCCGTGTGGGGCCCGTCTCCTGACTGCAGCGCAGCGACCTGCACCACTCAGACGGGGGTTTTCACCGAGGGCCCACTCCTGTAGGCATTGCTGCCCAAGCCCCCGGATCAGGGCCCGCACCCGGAGAGAGTGCTTTATAAATAACGGTTGTTTTTTCCTACCTGCCCCAACGGCATGGCCTTGCTGTTTCATCACAGAAAGGAAGTGACATTGGGCAACTGGCTCCTCACTGAAGAGTCATTAGCCTCCAATGGCCATTCGCTGGCCTGTGCAAAAGGCACTGGGGGCCTCAGCCCAGCTCCCAAGAGGGCAGGCGCCCATCTACCCATTGGTGCCACCTGGGCCCCTGGGGGCTAGGCAGAGCAGAGAGACCAAGGACTGAGGTCTTGTCTGCTCTGGGGGTCCCAGCTACCCCCGTGCAAACACCGCTGTATGCTGTGATTTGCTTTCCAAGCAGCGTTCAGCCGGACCAGTGCAAACAATGGCGTAGCCTGTCTAGGCAAGGGGTGTGCAGCGGGGCAGGAACTGGGATCGGGGCACATTGCCAGTGCAACCAATGCCTGGGTGGGTGGTGGGGCTTGGATCCCATCTCATCCTGGAGGGGGTGCAGCCGGCAGGGCCCCGGGGACAGTGCTTGGGGGAAGCCGTCCTGGTAGCACCTAGGCAGCAGATTCACTTTATCCAGCACCAAATTCACACATGCTAATTCCTGCAGATTAAAATTAAAAACAAACCTGTGAGTGATTCCAGCTGCTCCGAGCCCCGTTTCCACCCGCTTCCCTGCAGTTTGGGGGCTTGAGGCGTTCCCAAGACCAGGGGGCTGCTAGCGGGGGTGGGGGTTGGTTTAAAACCAGGAACATTCTCAAGGGCAGGGTTTTTTCGGGGAGGGGTTAAGGACAGGGATGGGGGATGAACCCTAATAATTCATGGCCGTTAAGCCGCGGGCTGGGCTGCATGCTCCCCTGCAATGAGACTGGTGGGAAACATCGATTTTCCCTCCCAGTGTGGATGAGGCCAGGGCCTGTCTAGCATGGTATCCCGTCTGCGACAGTGCCCAGCACTATCTCACTCAGAGAAAGGTGTAAAACTCCTTGTAGCTCTGGAGCAGCCTGTCCGCAGGGAAAGGTCGTCCCCCCCCAACACCTCTCAGTCAGTATAGATCCTGGCCACACTTCCTGAGTCCTTCCCAGCGGGACGCCAGGTGGTCTCGTGAGTACAAATGTTCAATTCTTTTTTAATAATCCTGCTAAGCTCCTGGCCTCACAGAGATCAAATGTCGGTGAGTTCCACAGGCCAATCTGGATCTGTGTTTTCATAAAACTCTGTGGTTACAGTGCCATTCCTGCAGAGTAGCAGGAAGTGACTAGCCTTTGTATTTTATTGTTTGTTTACAGGATACAGAGCCTGGTGCAGAATGAATGCCACCGAGCTGTATGTTGACTATCCTGACTGGAACAGTAACTTCACTGCGCCCGACTTCGACCTGCCGACTCCGCTGCCTTTCCAGCTGACCCCCGTCCTGTGGGCCTCTCTGGTTCTCTACTCCCTCGTCTTCCTGCTGGGCGTGCCGGGGAACGCGGCTGTCATCTGGGTGACGGGCTTCGGGATGAAGCGCACGGTGAACACCGTCTGGTTCCTCAACCTGGCGGTGGCCGACCTCCTCTGCTGCCTGGCGCTGCCCTTCCTGGCCGTGCCCGTGGCCCGCGACAACCGCTGGGAGCTGGGTGACTTCGCCTGCAAGCTGCTCCCATCCCTCGCCATCCTGAACATGTTTGCCAGCGTCCTGCTCCTGACGGCCATCAGCCTGGACCGCTGCGCCCTGGTGACCAGGCCCGTCTGGTGCCAGAACCACCGCACGACCCGGCTGGCCTGGGGCCTGAGCGGGGCAGCCTGGCTCCTGGCTCTGCTCATGACCCTCCCAACCTTCATCTTCCGGACGACGCACGCCAAGGCGTTCTCAGACAAAGTGATGTGTGTCTTGGAGTACACTCGCGTGTCCGGATACCAGACCGCCGTCGAGGTGTCCGTCGCTACCTTCCGCTTCGCCGCCGGCTTCCTGGTCCCCTTCGTGGTGATCGCCACCTGCTACGGCCTGGTCCTGGCCCGTGTCCACAGGAGCCGTTTCACCCGCTCGCGCAAGACCATTAAGGTCGTTCTTGTGGTGATCATCGGCTTCTTCGTGTGCTGGCTCCCCTACCACGTGGTGGGGCTGATCCTGGCCGCCCACAAGCCCAGCACGAGCCTGTTCAAAGGCGCCTTTGAGTCCGACCCCCTGATTGTGGGCCTGGCCTACGTCAACAGCTGCCTCAACCCCGTCATCTACGTCATCATGGGCCAGGACTTCAAAGACCGGTTCCAGCGCTCACTGAAGTCCATCCTCCGCAACGTGCTGAGCGAGGATTCACTCCACTCCGTGGCTGACAGCAGGAGGAAGACCAGATCCACGCTGGAGACCAAGTCCACAATGGAGGACCGGAGCATCGGGGTTTGAGCTGGGGAACGGGCCCTCAGCAGCCCCACCGCAGGCCGGGCTTGTGACATGGCAGGCGACAGCTGCCTCCCCTTTGCTCGCTGTCGTTACCCTGGGGGGTCCGTGTAGGGCACACAGCCGTGTGGCCACCGCCCCTCGCGTGCCCCAGGCCCCTGCAGGCTGTGGGGCGGGGCAGACGGTGATTTAATGCATGGTGCCTCCTCTATATTTGCATATCTGAATATTCATGCCCTCATTCTCCTATTTCCCCATCATCCAACCCTTTGGAGCCTCACACTCCTTCCAGCTCCTGCCTTGATTCCCCCCAATCTCCAGTGCCCCATGTCCCCCTGCCCCAAATTTCTCCTCCACCCCTTCCCCCCAGTCTGGCGCCACCCCCAGCAATCCCTCTGCCAGAGAGACGTGGCTGGAGCGCTCTACAACCAGATCTCCATGGCTACAGGCCACATGCTGGGTGGGTCTCCTCTCTGGCTAGGGTCCTCTCTGTGGTTGGAGACCTCCATGCCGTGGGGTCTCCTCTATGGCTGGGGTCCTCCGAGGGAGATCTATAGAGATCTATAACTATAGAGACGTGGCGCACGGAGCTTCACCCTCAGCTCTGCAGCTGTCCCAGGCAGGAGCCCTCAGCCTGGGCCCTCCTCTCCCAAGCTACGGAGGTAACGCCTCTGCCGGGCAGCAGTAGTAGCCTGTTACCCTCTTATGCAAATCAACCATGAGAGGGCGACAGAGACCCACCCTCCCTAGCGCTGGGCTTACAGAGACCCAGAGCTGCAGGGCGTGACTCTCCCTGCCCCTCATGCAGGCGTCGGCACCAGCCCTGGGTGTGACGCACAGGTCAGAATGGGGCAGCGTCTGGGCACGCACGCTGCAGGGGTGCAACTGAGCACCTGAGAGCCAGGTGCCCATGTGCATCCATGCAAGCAGCCCCTGTGCAAGCTGCTGCAAGCAGCATCCACTGGGGGAAGATTACGGGAGAGTTTCTAGCTTCCCACCCCTGTTGCCAGAGGCTCCGAATTTTCTGTAACTTCCCCGTTTTAGTGCTGGGATTTTGGGGTTGGGTTTTTGGAGCCAACCACTGCCCCCCCCGCCCAGCACCCCACAGGGGCACCGTCCTGGAAATGGTGGTGGTTTGGGTTTTGTGTCATGGGGGAGGATGACTGGCAGGAATTCACTGCCCTCCTGCTACAGGGCCCGAGCCAGCCCCGACAAGGGGGCAAGTTGTTGAGGTTACAGGGCTGCGTGCACCTCTGCCACGCCAGGCGTGGGGCACAGCACCCTGTGTAGCAGCCGTGCTGACCCAGAGGGTCTGAGAGAGTCCTCTGGGGCTTCCCTTTGGGAGCCTGTGCCCAGCAAGCCAAGGTATTGTTTGTTTTAACAATGGGAACAAAGCATGGGGGGGGGAAGGGTTTTAAAAACACAGTCTGCGACCATTTTTTTCGTACCTAAATCCACTCTGTGATGGGGATCTAGACAGGGCCGGCGTCGTCAGTTGCCCCAGCGGCTCCTGCATGTCACCCTGGCCCCCAAACAGCCCCCCCCCAAGGAGATGCTAGTTACAAACTGCTCGAGCCCCTTTGCTTGCCGGTGTGCCCAGGCCTTGGGCTGGCCTGGCGCTATCTCCTACCAGCACTCGGGCGTTTGCTGAGCAGTGGCTTATCTTGAGCTGTCCTGCCTCCTTCCTGCTTTATTGTGCGGCCAGAGAACCAATAGCTTCATCCCGCAACGTCCACGGACAGCGGGGCCATTTCTTGTCAGGGCATGGCTCCAGCTCCGCCACCCCTCGACTCTCGTCCCTCCTGAACACCGGCCTCTGGAGCAGCTGGGACTGGCCGGGCAGAGATGGGAGACTGAGGCAGAGTGAGTCCTGCCCTGATCCGTGGGCCCAGAACCCCCAGGAGGCCTCACCGTGACGCTCCCTCCGGCCCCGTGTGATTGTGCATTGCTCCGTCAGGGCTTGGCAGCCCCGGCCCCAGCGGCTCCCCCTCGCCCCTGGGCTGAGGTCCCCCTGCCCCGGCCGATCAACAGATGGCTCTGTGGCTTGATCCTTGGCTCTACGCCTTCCTCCGTGAGACTGTACGGGGCTGTGCTGCCAGTTACCCGGGCGAGGCCCCTGCACTGCCTGCTGGCTCGGCACCAATGTGTTCCTGGGCGTATGTCCAGGTTTGCCATAAACACAGACGTGGCTGCTGCCGGGTCTCTCCTTGACGAGGAGTGTGCGGGGCCTGGGGACGGGGTGGGCATGAAGCCACCTGTTTATCTGCCGGGGCAGGGGGACCTCAGCCCAGGGGCAAGGCACCCGAGGGGCTGAGAATGGGGCTGCCACACCCTGAAGGGAGCGTGGGCGGGGGGTGTTTAGCGGTTCATGGAGCTGTCCACAAGGCTGGGCGTTTCGGGGCGCTGGTTCCACGCACACTGTCCGGGGTTCTCTCTTTGCCAGGGTCCCCGCCAGCAGGGCCTACGCAGACCCGTGCATGCACCTTAGGAATCCCGCCCTCCCAGCACGCGGTGCTGCTCCCAGGAGACCCGAGGAACCACGCCCCTGTGCGATGAATAAATGTGCCTCTTTGTCACTGCGTTTGAGTTGGCATTGGGATGTTGGACGGCTGCTTATGGGTTAAAAACTGAGAAGCAGAACCCTGTTCATAGCTGAGCTCAGCAGCTCTGGGCGGCTGCGGTGGGACGTAGCTAGGGACAGCTGCGTGCGGTGCCATGGGGCGGGGGCATGGCCATGAAAGCAGGTGTCTGAAAGGAGCCGCAGGCTGGTTGCCTGGTGGGGTCCACGGTCCGATGAGCTGGGGGTGGCCCTAAAGGCCCCCTCTGCCTCAGTCTGTGGCCCTAAAGCGCAAACGGCTGGGGGTGAAACTTTGACGACTGCTATTTTCACAGCGTCTCGCACTGAGCCAGGTGCTTCCCAGTGGGCACAGAGCACGGCATTCCCTGGCCCCAGGACTCCGAACCTGCGGTCAGATCCGGGCTGGTGCAGGGGGGCCACGACCCAAGGAGCCCAGCCGCTGGGCGCTAGGGGCCTGCTTTTGGATGTGCCACAAGCGAAGGTAGCGGGGAGCGGCAGGGGCCGCACCAGCACAAAGACCTCGCTGTTCTCAGGGACAGCACACGCTGTCCGGCAGGGTGCAAGCAGAAACATCCCCCGTGAGTCTGTGTGTTATGGTTGCACCTAAAGGCCCCAATCCCAGCCTGGGCCCCTCCTTGTTTTAGGGGCTGCAAAGGAGAGCCCCTGCCCACACCGCTAACAAATCCAGAGCCCAGCTGAAAGGTGGCGGGTTTGGTTACACACGTGACCCTGGGGCCAGCAGGATCCTATGGGGGGGACGCAGTTTGGCAGTTGAGTCCAGGCCTCTCTCCCACCCCGCAGGGCAGTAGCAAGGCGCTGACTGCAGTTCTCGTTTCCGGTGTTTATTTGGAGGCTGGTCACAGGACAGCTGGGGAATGTTCTTGCTGCCCTAAGCAAACTGGCAGCTGATGAAGCAATTGGCCCCCGCACCCCTGCCCAGGGAGGCAGCCATCCCAGCTGTGGGGAGGGTGGGAGGAGCTGTAAAAATGTAGAAATGCCGGGGCTTATGCAAGCAGCTGCGGGCTGTTGCAGAGGTTCTGGGTGGAGTTCTTAGCACACCAGCCTCTCGGGAAGTGGCCCCTGTCAAGGTTCCTTCCCCACTCTGAACTCTAGGGTACAGATGTGGGGACCTGCATGAAAACCTCCTAAGCTTATTTTTACCAGCTTAGGTTAAAACTTCCCCAGGGTACAAACTATTTTACCCTTTGCCCTTGGACTTTCGCTGCCACCACCAAACATTTAACTGGTTACAGGGAAAGAGTTGTTTGGAAATGCCTTTCCCCCCAAATCCTCCCAACCCTTGCACCCCACTTCCTGGGGAAGGTTTGGTAAAAATCCTCACCAACCTGCATAGGTGAACACAGACCCAAACCCTTGGATCTTAAGAACAATGAAAAAGCAATCAGGTTCTGAAAAGAAGAATTTTAATAGAAGTAAAAAGAATCACCTCTGTAAAATCAGGATGGTAAATACCTTACAGGGTAATCAGATTCAAAACACAGAGAATCCCTCTAGGCAAAACCTTAAGTTACAAAAAGACACACAGACGGAATATCCATTCCATTCAGCACAGACTTATTTCCTCAGCCATTTAAAGAGATCAGAATCTCTCACATCTCTAGCTAGATTACTTACTCAGTTCTAAGACACCATTCCTGTTCTGTCCCCGGCAAAAGCATCACACAGACAGACCCAGACCCTTTGTTTCTCCCCCCCAGCTTTTGAAAGTATCTTGTCTCCTCATTGGTCATTGTGGTCAGGTGCCAGCAAGGTTATCCTAGCTTCTTAACCCTTTACAGGTGAAAGGTTTTTCCTCTGGCCAGGAGGGATTTTAAAGGTGCTTACCCTTCCCTTTATATTTATGACAGCCCCCATCTCCGCTCTGTCGAGGGCTATCAGTCCCCCTGCTTTGGGGCTGGAGCTGACCCCTCACTGGGCAGGGGCGGGTTGGAGGGCACATTCTCCAGGGGCAGGTTATCCCATCACCGTCTCTGCAACAGTGGGCGATAGCCTCTATTGAAGACTGGGCTAGAGGGACCCCATGGCTGGTCCAGTCTGGCCATGCACACAATGCTGGGCGTTGTGAGTTTGCCAGGTCTCTGTGGGCACTGCTAATGCCCCCTCCTCTCTCTGGAGGACCTGGGCTCTTGGTCGGCGTGAGGCGGGAGTGGGAGCTGCCCCAGCTCCCCTGTGGGATGCTGGGAAGATCCCACTCCAGCCCCGGCTATGACGCTGCAAAGCAGCCAGGCGCTGAGTGGGGAGTCTCTCACCAGTGCATTTTGACAGGGCCCCTGGCCAGCCCTGCTCTGAGGAGCAGCCGGCAGTGACCCACACCCTGCTCCCCTGGGGGAGGGACTCCAAGGCTGGCGCTAGTTTGTTTGCTTCCCTCTGTGCCATCCGCTGGGGACGGTGTGGGTCCACGCAGTAGGCCCTGCTTCATAAACAGAATCTGAATAGAAAGGGCTAATAAAGGATTCACTGCCGGAGTCCGGCTGGCAGCTTGGCATCCTCCACGGCACCTTCTGCGGCTGTGTCTGCGACATGCATTGTTCACACGTGTGACAGCTGAGTGAGTAACCTTCTCTACACCAGCCCCGACAGCCTGTGCTCGCGTCCTCCCTGCTGGGGCTGAGGCGTTGACAGAGGGAGCCCCGGGCCGAGACTGCGTTGGCAAATACAGGGAAGAGCCCCGATGCTGGAATTTCCCATCACGCCACCCTCACCCCTGGCTCTGGCCAGAGCCCCCCGCAGCCCCTCGCACTCATGGCTCCAGCCGATTCTGCTGCCGCTGCAGAATTCCCAACTTCCCCATCTTCTGCAGCTTTGCTGAGCTTCCTCCTCACGGCAGCCAGGCCTCATTGCCCAATGCTCTGGTGAGATGCAAACGCAACCGCAGAGCCAGCTTGTGTGTGTGTGTGTGTGTGTGTGTGTCCTATTAACCCTTCGGTGGCCTGGGCTGAGTTTTCCCTTTATGCGCCAGGGAAGCAGAGACGACTCCCACCCACGGAGCGCAGCAGCGGCCGGCCCACGCCTGGGTGGGGACAGCTTGGCACTGAAGCCTCAGCAGAGGAGGGTGAGCCATTGGGGAAGGCACTGGGCTGGGACTCAGGAGATCTGCCTCCAACTCACAGCTCTGCCACAGACGCCCGCTGAGCCCTGGGGTGAGTAACTCCATCTCTCCGGGCCTCAGCCCCCCCCGCTGCCATGTGGGGAGAACGAGCCCTCTTCCGTCTGTTTGCATTGTCGGCTCTTTGGGGCAGAGCCTGTCTCTCACGCTGTGCAGCCCTCGGCACAATGGGGCCCCAGTCTCAGCTGGGCGCACGGAGTGTGACTGTCTCGGTCATGGGGAGGTGTCACTCCCCCACAGCTGCAGGCCAGGGTTACGTCAGAGCAGGACCCTGTCCCATGCCAAGGCAGCTCCCAAGGAGGTCATGGTGCCCATCTTTAAAAAAGGGAAGAAGGAGGATCCTGGGAACTACAGGCCAGTCAGCCTCACCTCAGTCCCTGGAAAAATCATGGAGCAGGTCCTCAAGGAATCAATTCTGAAGCACTTAGAGGAGAGGAAAGTGATCAGGAACAGTCAGCATGGATTCACCAAGGGCAAGTCATGCCTGACTAATCTAATTGCCTTCTATGATGAGATAACTGGCTCTGTGGATGTGGGGAAAGCAGTGGACGTGTTGTTCCTTGACTTTAGCAAAGCTTTTGACACGGTCTCCCACAGTATTCTTGCCAGCAAGTTAAAGAAGTATGGGCTGGATGAATGGACTATAAGGTGGATAGAAAGCTGGCTAGATTGTCGGGCTCAACAGGTAGTGATCAATGGCTCCATGTCTAGTTTGCAGCCAGTATCAAGTGGAGTGCCCCAAGGGTCGGTCCTGGGGCCGGTTACGTTCAATATCTTCATTAATGATCTGGAGGATGGTGTGGATCACACCCTCAGCAACTTTGCAGATGACACTAAACTGGGAGGAGAGGTAGATATGCTGGAGGGTAGGGATAGGATACAGAGGGCCCTAGACAAATTAAAGGATTGGGCCAAAAGAAATCTGATGAGGTTCAACAAGGATAAGTGCAGGGTCCTGCACTTAGGACAGAAGAATCCCATGCACCGCTACAGACTAGGGACCGAATGGCTCGGCAGCAGTTCTGCATAAAAGGACCCAGGGGTTACAGTGGACGAGAAGCTGGATATGAGTCAGCAGTGTGCCCTTGTTGCCAAGAAGGCCAATGGCATTTTGGGCTGTATAAGTAGGGGCATTGCCAGCAGATCGAGGGACGTGATGGTTCCCTTCTATTCGACATTGGTGAGGCCTCATCTGGAGTACTGTGTCCAGTTTTGGGCCCCACAATACAAGAAGGATGTGGAAAAATTGGAAAGAGTCCAGCGGAGGGCAACAAAAATGATTAGGGGTCTGGAACACATGACTTATGAGGAGAGGCTGAGGGAACTGGGATTGTTTAGTCTGCAGAAGAGAAGAATGAGGGGGGATTTGATAGCTGATTTCAACTACCTGAAAGGGGGTTCCAAAGAGGATGGCTCTAGACTGTTCTCAGTGGTAGCATATGACAGAACGAGGGGCAATGGTCTCAAGTTGCAGTGGGGGAGGTTTAGGTTGGATATTAGGAAAAACTTTTTCACTAGGAGGGTGGTGAAGCACTGGAATGGGTTACCTAGGGAGGGGGTGGAATCTCCTTCTTTAGAGGTTTTTAAGGTCAGGCTTGACAAAGTCCTGGCTGGGATGGTTTAGTTGGGGATTGGTCCTGCTTTGAGCAGGGGGTTGGACTAGATGTCCTCCTGAGGTCCCTTCCAACCCTGATATTCTATGATTCTATGGTGGCAGGAATTAGCCCTTGGAGCGCCACAGAAAGGGGGGCCCATTACTTCACCCACTGGGCCGTGGGCAGAGACTTCTGCAGCAGGGTCCCCCTGGCTGGTTTGTGGCTGTGGCATGTACATGGGGGGGGGGGGAGGGGGGCTGTTATCGCGGGCAGGAGTCCCGGCTGCAACTCTGGGTCTGTCTAACCCACAGAGAAATCATGGGGCCTGGAACTGCTGAGCTGGGGGCTTGTTGGTAAAATCAGGCACTTGGCCTTGTGGGGCTCTCATGGCTCCTCGAAGCTTGGGACCAGCCTCTGGCTCAGCTGCTGGCAGCAGGACACCAGCAAGGGAAGGGGCTGCGGGGCCTACAGGGGACCTCCAGATCTATGTGACGATACATCCAGGTCTGGCTGGCTCCTGCAGCGAGCACCAGGCCTCTGGGGGACGGTGCCATTTCAGTGCAGAAAAGGGAGAGAATTTTACTCAACTCGAATTTGGTTTTTAGGGCGCGGATCCTGGTGCAGAATGAATGCCACCGAGCTGTATGGTGACTATCCTGACTGGTACAGTAACTTCACTGCGCCCGACTTCGACACGTCGACTCCGCTGCCTTTCCTGCTGACCCCCGTCCTGTGGGCGTCTCTGGTTCTCTACTCCCTCGTCTTCCTGCTGGGCGTGCCGGGGAACGCGGCTGTCATCTGGGTGACGGGCTTCGGGATGAAGCGCACGGTGAACACCGTCTGGTTCCTCAACCTGGCGGTGGCCGACCTCCTCTGCTGCCTGGCGCTGCCCTTCCTGGCCGTGCCCGTGGCCCGCGACAACCGCTGGGAGCTGGGTGACTTCGCCTGCAAGCTGCTCCCATCCCTCGCCATCCTGAACATGTTTGCCAGCGTCCTGCTCCTGACGGCCATCAGCCTGGACCGCTGCGCCCTGGTGACCAGGCCCGTCTGGTGCCAGAACCACCGCACGACCCGGCTGGCCTGGGGCCTGAGCGGGGCAGCCTGGCTCCTGGCTCTGCTCATGACCCTCCCAACCTTCATCTTCCGGACGACGCACCCCAAGGCGTTCTCAGACAAAGTGATGTGTGTCTTGGAGTACACTCGCGTGTCCGGATACCAGACCACTGTTGAGCTGTCCGTCGCTACCTTCCGCTTCGCCGCCGGCTTCCTGGTCCCCTTCGTGGTGATCGCCACCTGCTACGGCCTAGTCCTGGCCCGCATCCAGGGTAGCTGTGTGGTCCAATGCCACAGGCCCACGGTCGTTGTGCTGGTTGTGATTGTCGGCTTCTTTGCCTGCTGGCTCCCCTACCACGTGGTGGGGCTGATCCTGGCCGCCCACGCCCCCAACGCCCGTCTGTACAAGCTGGCAGACGCCACCCAGCCCCTCGTCGTCAGCCTGGCCTACGTCAACAGCTGCCTCAACCCCATCATCTATGTGGGGATGGGCCAGGGCTTCCGGGGCCTGGTGCAAAGCCTCCTGGCTGACGTCCTCCAGGAGGAGGGGGCAGACCTAGAGTGTGAGGTCCAGGCTCAGTTCACGTCCACGAGCAGTGGGCAGGCCACTGAGACAATGGTTTAGGTCCATGGGGGTCCCCCAGCTCGGGCGGGACCAGGAGAGCAGGGGACTGGACTGACAAGGAGAGAAGCTCGCAGCCTGGCTGCTGTCCATCTGTGCCTTGCGGGTACCTCATCTGTGCCTTGCGTGGTCGCTTAGCCTGGCTAGTGCTGTGGGGAGCTGAGTCTCTGCAGAATCGGCTGGAGGGAGCAGTAAGATCTGCTGCCCCCCGAACATCCTGCAGCCCCTCAGCGAAGGGGCTAGCTCCGTATTACCACTGAACTGCTCCGACTGGAAGCTCTGGGGGCAGGGACCGTCTCTCTGTTCTGCATCTGTAGGGTGCCGCTGCAATGGAGATCACCCATAAATCACAGCCTTGTGGGGATCCCTCTCCTGCCCCCTTCTTTGGCTGGCTTGTGGGAGCCTGCAGCCCGATCCCTGCCACCGCAGAGCACTAACTCAAGCCGTGCCTCGCAGGGGGAGTGTGACTGACTGGAAGCAAAGCCGGGGGCTCAGCTGCAGGGCGGATGAAGGGTGCCCCTGTCCCAGACCCAGCTGCCCGGGGGCAGTGGGACCCCCAGAACCCTACAGCCCCCTCCCCCCAGCTCTGTGCCCTGCAGCCCTGATGGGCGGGGGGATGACGCGCAGGTCCCCTGCAAGGAGGGGTGGGAATTCCTCCCCACCAATGTAACAGGGGGAGCGTGTCCCAGACCCTGCGCGGAGCCCCTCAGGCCCCCAGTGCAGGGGAGCATGTACGAGCCGCACCCCCGGGAGCAGATCCCAGCCCCCCAATGCAGCGGGGGGGGCACCGGCCCCAGCAGGGGGGACCCCGAGCCCCCCGGGAGCAGATCCCAGGCCCCAATGCAGCGGGGGGGCACCGGCCCCAGCAGGGGGGACCCCGAGCCCCCCAGGAGCAGATCCCAGCCCCCCAATGCAGCGGGGGGGCAGCACCGGCCCCAGCAGGGGGGACCCCGAGCCCCCTGGGAGCAGATCCCAGCCCCCCAATGCAACGGGAGGGGGGCACCGGCCCCACAGGGAGGCCCCCGAGAGCAGATCCCAGCCCCCCAATGCAGCGGGGGGGCGGCACCGGCCCCAGCGGGGGGGACCCCGAGCCCCCTGGGAGCAGATCCCAGCCCCCCAATGCAACGGGGGGGGCACCGGCCCCACAGGGAGGACCCCGAGGCCCCCGGGAGCAGATCCCAGCCCCCCAATGCAGCGGGGGGCAGCACCGGCCCCAGCAGGGGGGACCCCGAGCCCCCTGGGAGCAGACCCCAGCCCCCCAATGCAGCGGGGGGGCACCGGCCCCAGCGCGGGGGACCCCGAGCCCCCCCGGGAGCAGATCCCAGCCCCCCAATGCAGCGGGGGGGGCACCGGCCCCAGCGGGGGGGACCCCGTGGCCCCCGGGAGCAGATCCCAGCCCCCCAAAGTAGCGGGGGGGCACCGGCCCCAGCGGGGGGGACCCCGAGCCCCCCGGGAGCAGATCCCAGCCCCCAAAGTAGCGGGGGGCGGCACCGGCCCCAGCGGGGGGACCCCGAGCCCCCCCGGGAGCAGATCCCAGCCCCCCAATGCAGCGGGGGGGCACCGGCCCCAGCGGGGGGGACCCCGAGCCCCCCGGGAGCAGATCCCAGCCCCCCAATGCAGCGGGAGGGCAGCACCGGCCCCAGCGGGGGGGACCCCGAGCCCCCCGGGAGCAGATCCCAGCCCCCCAATGCAGCGGGGGGGACCCCGAGCCCCCCGGGAGCAGATCCCAGCCCCCCAATGCAGCGGGGGGGCGGCACCGGCCCCAGCGGGGGGGACCCCGAGCCCCCCGGGAGCAGATCCCAGCCCCCCAATGCAGCGGGGGGACCCCGAGCCCCCGGGAGCAGATCCCAGCCCCCCAAAGTAGCGGGGGGGCGGCACCGGCCCCAGCGGGGGGGACCCCGAGCCCCCCGGGAGCAGATCCCAGCCCCCCAATGCAGCGGGGGGCGGCACCGGCCCCAGCGGGGGGGACCCCGAGCCCCCCGGGAGCAGATCCCAGCCCCCCAATGCAGCGGGGGGGGGCACCGGCCCCAGCGGGGGGGACCCCGAGCCCCCCGGGAGCAGATCCCAGCCCCCCAATGCAGCGGGGGGGACCCCGAGCCCCCCGGGAGCAGATCCCAGCCCCCCAAAGCAGCGGGGGGCGGCACCGGCCCCAGCGGGGGACCCCGAGCCCCCTGGGAGCAGATCCCAGCCCCCCAATGCAACGGGGGGGGGGCACCGGCCCCACAGGGAGGACCCCGAGGCCCCCGGGAGCAGATCCCAGCCCCCCAATGCAGCGGGGGGGCAGCACCGGCCCCAGCAGGGGGGACCCCGAGCCCCCTGGGAGCAGACCCCAGCCCCCCAATGCAGCGGGGGGGGCACCGGCCCCAGCGCGGGGGACCCCGAGCCCCCCCGGGAGCAGATCCCAGCCCCCCAATGCAGCGGGGGGGGGCACCGGCCCCAGCGGGGGGGACCCCGTGGCCCCCGGGAGCAGATCCCAGCCCCCCAAAGTAGCGGGGGGGGCACCGGCCCCAGCGGGGGGGACCCCGAGCCCCCCGGGAGCAGATCCCAGCCCCCCAAAGTAGCGGGGGGGCGGCACCGGCCCCAGCGGGGGGGACCCCGAGCCCCCCCGGGAGCAGATCCCAGCCCCCCAATGCAGCGGGGGGCACCGGCGCCAGCGGGGGACCCCGAGCCCCCGGGAGCAGATCCCAGCCCCCCAATGCAGCGGGAGGGCAGCACCGGCCCCAGCGGGGGGACCCCGAGCCCCCGGGAGCAGATCCCAGCCCCCCAATGCAGCGGGGGGACCCCGAGCCCCCGGGAGCAGATCCCAGCCCCCCAATGCAGCGGGGGGCGGCACCGGCCCCAGCGGGGGACCCCGAGCCCCCGGGAGCAGATCCCAGCCCCCCAATGCAGCGGGGGGGACCCCGAGCCCCCCGGGAGCAGATCCCAGCCCCCCAAAGTAGCGGGGGGGCGGCACCGGCCCCAGCGGGGGGGACCCCGAGCCCCCCGGGAGCAGATCCCAGCCCCCCAATGCAGCGGGGGGGCGGCACCGGCCCCAGCGGGGGGGACCCCGAGCCCCCCGGGAGCAGATCCCAGCCCCCCAATGCAGCGGGGGGGGGGCACCGGCCCCAGCGGGGGGGACCCCGAGCCCCCCGGGAGCAGATCCCAGCCCCCCAATGCAGCGGGGGGGGCACCGGCCCCAGCGGGGGGGACCCCGAGCCCCCCGGGAGCAGATCCCCCAGGCGCGGCGCGGAGGGACGCGGGGCGGGCCCGGCTGCGGGAGGCGGCGCTTCCCGGCGGCTGCGGCCTGCGAGGCCCGAGCGGTGAGAGCGGGGCCGGGGCCGGGGCGGTCATAGGGGAAAGGGGGGGCCTGTGGGAGGGATAGCAGGGGGTGCGTGGGGGCCCATAGGGGAATGGAGGGGGGCCTGTGGGAGGGATAGCAGGGGGTGCGTGGGGGCCCATGGGGAAAGGGGGGGTCTGCGGGAAGGGGGGATAGCAGGGGGTGGGGGGGGCCCATAGGGGAATGGGGGGGGGGGGGTCTGTGGGAGGGATAGCAGGGAGCGCGGGGGGCCATAGGGGAAAGGGGGGGTCTGTGGGAGGGATAGCAGGGGGTGCGTGGGGGCCGATAGGGGAATGGAGGGGGGCCTGTGGGAGGGATAGCAGGGGGTGCGTGGGGGCCCATGGGGAAAGGGGGGGTCTGCGGGAAGGATAGCAGGGGGTGCGGGGGGCCCATAGGGGAATGGGGGGGGGTCTGTGGGAGGGATAGCAGGGGGTGCGTGGGGGCCCATGGGGAAAGGGGGGGGGGTCTGCGGGAGGGATAGCAGGGGGTGCGGGGGGCCCATAGGGGAAGGGGGGGGTCTGCGGGAGGGATAGCAGGGGGTGCGTGGGGGCCCATAGGGGAACGGAGGGGGTCTGTGGGAGGGATAGCAGGGGGTGCGGGGGGCCCATAGGGGAAAGGGGGGGGTCTGTGGGAGGGATAGCAGGGGGTGCGTGGGGGCCCATAGGGGAATGGGGGGGTCTGTGGGAGGGATAGCAGGGGGTGCATGGGGGCCCATGGGGAATGGGGGGGTCTGCGGGAGGGAAAGCAGGGGGCTTGGGGGGGGTCCATAGGGGAAAGGGGGGTCTGTGGGAGGGATAGCAGGGGGTGCGTGGGGGCCCATAGGGGAATGGGGGGGCCTGTGGGAGGGATAGCAGGGGGTGCGTGGGGGCCCATAGGGGAATGGGGGGGGCCTGTGGGAGGGATAGCAGGGGGCTTGGGGGGGCCCATAGGGGAAAGGGGGGTCTGTGGGAGGGATAGCAGGGGGTGCGTGGGGGCCCATAGGGGAATGGGGGGGTCTGCGGGAGGGATAGCAGGGGCTTGGGGGGGCCCATAGGGGAAAGGGGGGTCTGTGGGAGGGATAGCAGGGGGTGCGTGGGGGCCATAGGGGAATGGAGGGGGGTCTGCGGGAAGGATAGCAGGGGGTGCAGGGGAGTCCATAAAGGTTTGGAGGGGGGTCTGGGGAGGGATAGCAGAGGGTTCGGGGGGGCCCATAGGGGAATGGGGGGGTCTGTGGGAGGGATAGCAGGGGACTTGGGGGTGCCCATAGGGGAATGGAGGGGGGTCTGTGGGAGGGATAGCAGAGGGTTTGGGGTGGCCCATAGGGGAATGGGGGGGTCTGTGGGAGGGATAGCAGGGAGCGCGGGGGGCCATAGGGGAATGGGGGGGGTCTGTGGGAGGGATAGCAGGGGGTGCGTGGGGGCCGATAGGGGAATGGAGGGGGGTCTGTGGGAGGGATAGCAGGGGGTGCGTGGGGGCCCATAGGGGAATGGAGGGGGGTCTGTGGGAGGGATAGCAGGGGGTGCAGGGGAGCCCATAGAGGTTTGGAGGGGGGTCTGTGGGAGGGATAGCAGAGGGTTCAGGGGGGCCCATAGGGCAATGGGGGGGTCTGTGGGAGGGATAGCAGGGGGTGCAGGGTAGCCCATAGAGGTTTGGAGGGGGGTCTGTGGGAGGGATAGCAGAGGGTTCTGGAGGGGGGCACACGAGAGCACAGAGAGGGGCCATGCGGGATGCTTTGTTGGGGCGTTAGCTCCTTGGTGGGTGGGAGAGGGCAGGTGCCCTCTGGTGCCAGGGGATGGATCAAGCCCAGAGAGCTGTTTGGGTTTAATCCCCCCTGCCTGGCACAGGGTTCCCGGCCCGTCGCCCGGCGGGCCCGGGGCTCATGCTCTTCCAGAACGAGTTCTTGTCCTTACACATTGCTTTCTGTCCCCCAACCCCCAGGCACTGGAGAGATCAGCCTTGAGTGGGACCCCCAAACCCGTTCACCCACCACGGAGTGGCCAGTTGGGGTGAGGCCCCCGCAGAGATTCAGCTGTTTCCTGCCTCCAGCCCTGTCCGGATTTCCAACCCCCTGACCCCCGTGGGTTGCCCAGATCCAGATTCCCATCCCCTGCCTCTGCCGAGAAGTGGGAGGTCTTCGCCGGGGGTGACCCAAGGGGGCAGAGATGCCATCGTCGGAGAAGGAGCGCAGGGCCAAGAGGCGAAGCAGAGACCCCTCCCCGTCCCGGGGGCAGCAGGGCGGCTGCTGGGACTGGAGCTGCCCCGAGATGCGGCGCCGGCTGGAGGAGCTGTATTTCCGGGAGCAGGATTACATCCGGGCGGGCTCTGAAGACAGCCGCCAGTTCTGGGCCTTCTTCGGCCGGCTCCAGCGCTTCCAGACCCTGAAGGCGAAGGGGGAGCCGGCGGTGTGGGCTCCCCCGGCCCGGGCTGACCCCTCTGCCGCCCCTGGGCTGGCTGGCCTCCCACGGGAGTACGACCCGTGCTACCGGATCAACCTGTCGGTGCTGAGCGGGGACGTGGAGGGGCTGGCGCGGGGCAGGAGGGGGGGTCCGCGGCAGGGCCCAGGGGTGCCGGCCGAGCAGCGCTCCCAGTTCCGCGCCGCCCTGCTGCATTACCTGGACTTCGCCCAGAAGCAGAGCTTTGCCAAGCTGGCCAAGCTGCAGCGGGAGCGGGCGGCCCTGCCCATTGCTCAGTACCGCGACCGGCTGCTGCGGGCTGTGGCCCAGAACCAGGTGGTGGTGGTAGCCGGCGACACGGGCTGTGGCAAGTCCACACAGGTCCCCCAGTACCTGCTAGCGGCTGGGTACAGTCACGTGGCCTGCACCCAGCCACGTCGCATCGCCTGCATCTCGCTGGCCAAGCGGGTGGGCTTTGAGAGCCTGCACCAGTATGGGGCTGAGGTGAGTGGGGCTGGGACCAGGGGTGCCCCAGGGCTCAGGCAGGGTCTGTGCCAGGCTGAGGGAATTTGGACAGGGAGGACGTGAGACCTGCTGTGCCCCCCGCTCCTCCTGGCCAGGAATCCCAGCTAAACCCAGCGGGGGTCCCAGATGCCCCGACCCCATGTGGCCTCTCGCTGTTGTCCCATAGCCCTGCTGCGTGGGGGCAGTGGGTGAGATTGTATGCAGAGAATGGGGGCTGGGCCATGCCTTGGGGATGCAGAGAGCCCTGAGATCTAGGCTGTGCCCTCCCAACCACCCCCCATGGGGGTCTGGGCCGTGCCCTGGGAGCAGGCAGTGCCTGGGGGTCTGGGCCGAGCCCCTAGGGCTCTGTGCCGGTGATCAGGGGCCTCTCTTAGGGCAGCTCCATGCATTTCAGCACCAGCTGTCTGGGGCGAGCACCATGGTCCCTCCGTGCTGGCCCTCTGCCCTGGCTGGCAGGTGCTGGGCTCCCCTCCTGCTGACCGCCCGCCCGCCCCTGCTCCTCCCCAGGTGGGATACCAGATCCGCTTCGAGAGCACCCGCTCCCCGGCCACCAAGATCGTCTTCCTGACGGAGGGGCTGCTGCTGCGGCAGGTGCAGCGCGAGCCGGCGCTGCCCGGGTACCAGGTGCTGATTGCCGACGAGGTGCACGAGCGGCATCTGCATAGCGACTTCCTTCTGGGCGTGCTGCGCCGCCTGCTGCCCGCCCGCCCCGACCTCAAGCTGGTGCTCATGTCGGCCACCATCAACATCCGCCTCTTTGCGGGGTACTTCGGGGGTGCCCCCGTGGTGCAGGTGCCCGGCCGGCTCTTCCCCATCACGGTGAGAGCATGGGGGGGGGCGTGGATGGGAACTTGGGGAGCCCCTTGCTGAACCCCTGCCGCATCCTTGGGGGTCCCCCTCCGGTGCTGAGACGTGGCCACCTCTGGGGTGGGGCACACGGCCTGTGTGTACAGGGATCCCTCACCCGGTGCTGAGATGCAGCTGTGTCTGTACGCAGGCGGATTAGAACCCAGGAGTCCTGGCTTCCCAGCCCCCCGGTTCTAACCCACTGGGCCTTACTCCCCGCCCGTAGTGCGGGCAGAACCCAGGAGTCCCGGCTCCCAGTGCTGAGCCGGCTAAGCCACGCCACTGCCCTCCCTCTCCCTGCACCTCCAGCCTGCTGGGCCGATGAGGGCGGTGTCCCCGCGGGGCCGGCCCTCGGGCTGCCCAGCGTCGGGCGCTCTCTCTCCCTGCCCTGTGGCCATGGCGTCTCTGCTTGCCCAGGTCGTCTACCAGCCCATCCCCCAGGAGGAGGCTCTGGCAGCGAGCGGGAAGCCGGAGCGGCTGGACCCCCGGCCCTACCTGCGGGTGCTGCAGGCCATCGACCACAAGTACCCGCCCGAGGAGCGGGGCGACCTGCTCGTCTTCCTGAGCGGGGTGGCGGAGATCAGCGCCGTGCTGGAGGTGGCCCAGGCCTATGCCACCCACACCCAGCGCTGGGTGGTGCTGCCCTTGCACAGCACCCTCTCCATTGCCGAGCAGGACAAGGTGGGTCTGGGCGCGGGGCAGGGGCCAAGGCCTCCGCTGGACTGGGCTGTGCCCCCCGGTGGGGGAGCGTGCTGTGGGGAGCTGGCATGAGAGATGGGGCTAGGAGGGGAACGTAGCTGGGGAGTGGCTGTGGGGGCTAGGAAGGGGGGTGCGTGGGGTGGCTGGGGGGAGCGGTGCTGTGGGGTGGGCGGGGGACTGTTGGGCGAAGGGAGGGGGAAGGGGGTGGAGAGTAGCCGTGTGTGGGGGTGCAGAGGGGACCAGCAGGGGTGGCGGGGTGTGTCAGGAGCTGTGACTCCCCATCTCTTCCCCCCACCCCCCAGGTGTTTGACATGCCCCCCCCAGGAGTCCGGAAATGCATCGTCTCCACCAACATCGCCGAGACCTCGGTCACCATCGATGGGGTGCGCTTTGTGCTGGACTCTGGTGAGACGCCCTCCCCTCGCTTCGGGGCTGGGAGGCGTGGGCCAGCACCAGCTGGTGGGGTGGGGGCTCCACTCTCCGGGCCGGCCTGGGACTCCCCTTTGGCTGTGGCTCTGAGCACGGCAGGATGGGGGCGGCCGGGTGCTGGGTGAGGCGTGTGGAGATTGTGTCTGCCTGTCCTGCCCCCCAGGGAAGGTGAAGGAACTCAGCTACGACCCCCAGGCCAAGCTGCAGCGGCTGCAGGAGTTCTGGATCAGCCGGGCCAGCGCCGAGCAGCGGAAGGGGCGCGCGGGCCGGACGGGCCCCGGGGTCTGCTACCGGCTCTACGCTGAATCTGACTACGACGCCTTCGCTCCCTACCCGGTGCCGGAGATCCAGCGCGTGGCGCTCGACGCCCTGGTGCTGCAGGTGGGCAGAGCCGGGGAGGGGGGATCTCCCCCGTCCCCAGGCGGGTCTGTCACTGCTGGGGGGAGCTGTCCTTCGAAAGGGGGGAACCTGGGTAGATGCTCTGCTCTGGAGGGCTGAGCCCCCAGCCTGCCCAATGTGTGGCCGTGCCGAGTGCTGGCTTGTGCAGCATCCTTGGAGCCGGAACTCGCTCCCAGGTCTCCAGCATCACGGGAGGAAGCGCTGGGCCCAGCCCCTGCAGCCTCCCAGCCTCTGCGTGACGCCTCCGGGGCTGTGAGGCTGTCCCTGCCGGGGGTCCGCTCTGACTCCACCGGCTACAGGCCACGCGAGCCCTCCCCTCTCGGCCTGCGCCGGCTCCGCAGTCCTGCAGGGCAGCACCCTCCGACGCCAGAGCCCTCCAAGCGCCACCCTACGGCATCCAGCCCCCTTCCACCGCTCCCCAAGGAGCAGCGCGCCCCAGCTCGCCGTCACCCCCCGGCGCACAGCTCCGCTTAGCACACAGCCGGTGGATCCGTTCAGCGTGAGAACAAGTCAGGGATTTAGCGGAGAGCGGAGGTTCGAGAAGCAGCAGGTCGAATTAATGGATGTTTGGGGTCACTTATAAAATAAAACCGTGGCATGCTATGCGAGCCTGAGCTGAACGAACAGCCGGTCTGTATCTCCCAGCAAGGACCAGCGAGAACGGCTGTGATCCTCCAGTCATACAATGTGCCAGCTGGCTGCTTGCCCCTCGGTGAAGGATCCCGGGTGTCTCTCTGTATCCCAGTTACACCCCAAAAGTCCAAGCAGGGTCACCCTGCTGTTTGTGGGTGTTCCTGCAGTCTATCGATCCATCTTTTGCTCAGCGTAAGTGGGTGCTTGTGACCCCCCGATACTCAGCCCGGGTGAGGTAAGCGTCTCTTCTCTCCTGCCTGGCAGGAGCACCTGGGGCGCCTTCTGGCCTGCTTGTCTCACACACCTTCCGAACACACTTTTCAGGGCAGATACACAGCTCCTCACATGTGACCCGCATGTCCGTTCTGCAGCGGTGATGACGTCCAGGCAAAGGGCTAATCTTTCATTTCTCCACCCCCCAGATGAAGAGCATGGGGCTGGGTGACCCCCGGACCTTCCCCTTCCTGGAGCCGCCCCCCCAGTCCAGCCTGGAGACAGCCGTGCGCTACTTGAGGGAGCAGGGGGCGCTGGACAGGGCCGAGAGCTTGACGCCCATCGGGAGCCTGCTGGCCCAGCTGCCCGTGGACGTGGTGATCGGTGAGGTGCCGCGGGGGGCTGGGGAGGCCCTGGCTGAGTGAGGGGGTAAATCGGGGGTGGGGTGGGTGCCAGGGGCATGGAGAGGGACTTTAAGCCTTGGGATGGGGATGGGAGGCGGTTCGCTGCCCCCCCCCCCGTAACGCTCTCCTCCCCCCATCCCGCTGCAGGGAAGATGCTGGTTCTGGGTGCGCTCTTCGGGCTGGCTGAGCCGGTGCTCACCATGGCGGCAGCGCTGAGCGTGCAGTCCCCATTCCTGCGCCCCACACGCACCAACCCCGACTGTGCCACGGCCCGCCGGCCCCTCGAGAGCCCCCACGGCGACCCGCTGACACTGCTCAATACCTTCAACGAGTGGGTGCAGGTGGGACTCGCTGGCCATCTGCTCTGCAGGAGGGCTTGTGGGGGCAGACCCCTTGGGGGGGTTACATCCTGTGGGAGAGCTGTTAAGGGTCTGGGGGAGGAGATGCCCCATGGCGGGAGCTGTGGGGGGGGTCTGCGGGAGGAGATGCCCCGTGGCGGGAGCTGTGGGGGGGGTCTGCGGGAGGAGATGACCCATGGCGGGAGCTGTGGGGGGGGTCTGGGGGAGGAGATCCCCTGTGGTGGGAGCTGTGGGGGGGGTCTGCGGGAGGAGATGCCCTGTGGTGGGAGCTGTGGGGGGGTCTGGAGGAGGAGATGCCCCATGGCGGGAGCTGTGGGGGGGGTCTGGGGGAGGAGATGCCCCATGGCGGGAGCTTTGGGGGGGTCTGCGGGAGGAGATGCGCCATGGGGGGTGCTCTGGGGGAGGAAATGCCCTGTGGCGGGAGCTGTGGGGGGGTCTGGAGGAGGAGATGCCCTGTGGTGGGAGCTGTGGGGGGGTCTGGGGGAGGAGATGCCCCATGGCGGGAGCTGTGGGGGGGGTCTGGGGGAGGAGATGACCCATGGCGGGAGCTGTGGGGGGGGTCTGGAGGAGGAGATGCCCCGTGGCGGGGGCTGTGGGGGGGGTCTGCGGGAGGAGATGCCCCGTGGCGGGGGCTGTGGGGTGCAGCAGGATGGCTCCCTGCCCCTCCCCGAATAAGCTGAGGCTTCGGTGTGGCCGGCAGGTGAAGTCGGAGCGGGCTGGCAGCTCCCGGAAATGGTGCCGGCTCCGGGGGCTGGAGGAGCACCGGCTCTACGAGGCGGCCAACCTGCGGCACCAGTTCCAGGTGGGTGTGCGGCGGGAGAGGGTCTGGGTGTCCCCTCAGAACCCAGCAAGGCCCCCACCCTAGCCCCTTCCCCGCCTAACCTCCTGCCCCCCACCCCCAGGCGCTGCTCCGGGACCACGGTCTGCTGGAGCCTGTGCAGGGGCCCAGGGACAGCTACGCCCGGCAGAGCCGACACCGGGAGCGCCGGGAGCTGCACCGGCTGCGGCAGCGGCATGAGGAGACGGGGGGGCGGACGCGCAAGGTGCTGAGGCTGCAGGAAGGGGAGGCCGGCTCCTCCAGCGACGAGGGAGCCAGCGGGACCGGGCCGTCAGGCGTCGATATCCAGGTGCATGGGAGGGGGGTCCCAGTGGGGGGAGAGTGGGGCAGAGGGCACCGCCCTGCTGGGCTCCCCCATCCTACCCCTCACTGGGGCCAAGCCGGCACCAAGAGCTTTCTCTGCGTCACCTGCTGGCTTCCTGCCGTGCCCTCCCCCCACCAGCAGGAGGGAGCCAGGACTCCTGGGTTCTGACCCTGCTCTGGGAGGGGAGTGGGGTCCAGTGGGTTAGAGCAGTGGGTGGGGCTTGGGACTGGCCGTGGCCCCCACCACTCCTGGGTTCAGTTCCTGGCCCCGTCTCTGTGACATTGGATACGTCCCCTGGGTGTAAGCCGGGGCCATGCCCCTGTGAGGCCGAGGGGCTGTGGGCACCGAGCCCGGCTGGTGGATGGGGGCCAGGACCCCGTGGCTGTGGCAGGCTGGCCCCTCCCTGCCGGGAGCCCGGGAGCGTCTGCCCGCAGGGTTTGCCGGGACGGGGGCAGTGCCGGGCTCTGCCTGCCGGAGCCCAGGCTAGGCAGTGCTGTTGCTTGCAGTGGGGTGCTCCTAGGGGCTGCCGGGGGCGCCCTGAGCTCCTCTCAGCTCTGCCCCCCCCACCCATCGCCCCTTCCCTCGGCAGGACGTCAAGTTCAAGCTACGGCACAACGTGGACGAGCTCCAGGCTGCGTCCGGCACGGCCCTGTCCTCCCACCAGTTTGCCCTGCTCAAGCTGGTGCTGTGCAGGGGTCTCTACCCCCAGCTGGCCGTGCCCGATCAGTACAACAGCTGCCGCAAGGACTCTGACCAGGTGCGCCTCTCGCGACCCCCCTCCAGCTCCTGGGGCCTGTCTCAGCTCTGGGAGGGGGTGGGAGTCTGGTGGTTAGCGCTGCGGGGTGGGAGCCAGGACTCCTGGGTTCTTTCCCAGCTCTGGAAAGGGAACGGGGTCTGGGCTAGAGGTTTGGGAGTCTGCAAAGGAGGAAGCCCGTGAGAGCTGTGCCCCAGGCTGGGGTCTCCAGCACCGGTTGCAGTCACCCAGCATGGCCACTGGCCCCGGCCCTGATGCCTCATCTGGTCTCCTTGCAGATTTTTCACACCAAGAACAAGCAGGGGATTGTCCTGCACCCGACCTGCGTCTTTGCCAGCAGCCCAGAGCTGCTGCAGGCCACAGAGGAGAAGGCAGAGCCCGGGAGGAGCAGAGGTAGGGAGAGAGGGACGGAGGGTGACCTGGCCCCAGCCCCTTGGTGCCCCGACGCGGAGAGAGCTCCCAGTCCAACCAGACCCAGCAAGGACCCTTCTCCCCGTGGCACAGGGTGACTGAGTCCCAGAGAGATGCAGGGACTAGCCTGGGGTCACGCAGGGTGTCTGTTGGGGAGCCGGGGCTGGAAGCCAGGGCTCCTGAAGCCCAGCCCCCAAGCCTGCTGTGCTCCTCCACGTGTTCTTCTGGCCCCGCTCAGAGCAGTGGGGCTGAGGGGGCTGTGGGCCCTCCCCACCCTATGGTCGCCCCAGCCCCCACGGCAGGGCTGAGCTGAGCCCCCATCTTGTGGCTTTGCAGGTTCCCAGGAGGGGCTGAGCAGCCGGCACCAGCTCCTGGCCTTCGTCTCGCTGCTGGAGACCAACAAGCCCTACTTGGTGAACTGCCTGCGGGCGCCGGCCCTGCAGGTGGGTGCCTGGCCCTGCCCCACACCCTGCACCCTGGCTCCCCTACCCTCTCCCTGCCCCCGCGCTTCCCGATGTCACCCCTGCACTGTCGGTCCTCCCTTCCGTGCCCCTACTCTCACCCTCTGTGACCCAGACCCCCGCATAGCCGACCATGGCTCTGCCCCCCAGGTATCCCCATAGCTGACCATGGCTCTGCCCCCGACCTGACCATTGCTCTCTCCCCCAGGCTCTCCTACTGTTCTCCCGTGCCCTGGACACCAGCGCGGACTGCACGCGGCTGGTGGCAGACTCCTGGCTGGAGCTGTGCGTGCCGGACAGCGGGGCGGCCCTGCGGCTGCTCTCCACAGCCCTGCAGCTCCGCGCCGCCTGGGAGGGGCTCCTGAACCGGCAGCTGGAGGGGAGGCGCGGGGAGCCAGGGCACAGGCCGGACCCTCGGGAGGTGGCGACGCTGAGGCAGGGGCTGCTGGAGTTCCTGCAGCAGAAGGTATCTGCAGCTTCCCCAGTGCAGCCGGGCCGAGCCAGGGTCCACCCCGGGCAGCTCAGGCCCTGCAGCCCCCCAGGGAAACCTTTCCACCGAGCTTTGCACCCTCTGCTCCGCAGGCAGCGAGGGAACATCCTCCCCACCCTACGGATGGGGAAACTGAGGCATGGGGCAGGGCCTGTGCAGGCTCATGCCACCAGTGGGTGCACGGCTGGTAGCTGCCTGTGCAACGCGCCGGTACATTGCCTCCCCTCGCTGGGTGTGTGCTGTCTGGGACAGCTGTCACCCACACGTCAATAGGAAGGGCTGGGGGGCAGCCTGGACACTGGCCGCGATCCCCACCACTTCCAGTCTGCACATGGTGTGTTTGCAGGATCTGAGCCCCTCCGCGAGCTGCTCCCCCCGGCCCCGGTGGGGGGGGGGGGGCGCAGGTAGCGGGGCGCCCCCGGGCGGCTCCCCCCGGCGCCGGTGGGGGGCGCAGGTAGCAGGGCCGCCCCGGGCGGCTCCCCCGGCGCCGGTGGGGGTGGGGTGTTGCCCGGTGCGTTGTGCAGACCCTGTGCCGGGGAATGCAGCTCTCTCTGGGCAGGGCGGGAGCAGCCGGGCAGGCAGCCGGGTGACACGCCCTCGCCCCCCGGCCTCACCCCCGGCGCCCCCTGCAGGTGCAGTACAGCCTGCGCCGGCTGACGGCGCTGGAGAAGCAGAACTGCTACGTGGGGCCCCAGACGGTGGCGGCTGCACCGGGGCTCCCGGGGCTCTTCCAGGGGGCAGAGATGACGCCCGACGAGGAGAAGGGCGGCTACAGGGTGGCTGAGTTCCTGACCTACAACTGCCTCGCGGTGAGTGCTGGGAGCCCGGGGCTCCCCCCTGGATGGGGACTAGCGGCCTCCAAGGCAGGGGCTCCATATCCCCCCACAGCTCCTCTGGCCCAGATCAGGGGGCCCCAAGGCAGCGGCTGTGGGCCCCTCAGCTTCCCTCCCCTTCGCCCCCCGGCTCCCCTCCCCGTTCCCAAACTGGGGCCGGCATTCCCCCGGCAGAGGTTCTGGGTCCCAGCCCGCTCCCCGGATTGGGGCCGGCAGCCCCTGAGGCGAAGGCTCCGGGTCCCACCCTGTGCCCCTCCGACTTTGTCCCTTGCAGAGCGAGACCGACCTGTACAGCGACTGCCTGCGCAGCTTCTGGACCTGCCCGCACTGCGCTCTCTACATGCCCTTCACCCCCATGGAGCGCATGAGCCATGAGAGCAGCTGTCGGCCCCGGCCCCAGGAGGGTGAGTCTCTGCTGGGGTCGCGCCGGGCGGGGGCACGGCCTGGGTTCCAGGGCTGGCGTCCCCCGTCCGGTCACCGCGCAGGCCTGGGGGTTCTGGGGTGGGTCCCAGCCCAGCCGGTCTCTGCCCCAGGCACTGCGCTGGCTGTGGGCCACCGGCCATGTCCCTCCACGGGGACGGGTCTCCCGGCCAAGCCACCCAGGGGGGTCCTAGCTGCCAGGTCGGCTGCTCGGCCCATCAGGTGACGCCGTTTCGTCTGCTCTTGCAGCTCCCCTGGAAGAGGCCGCTGAGAGTTCAGCCAAAGCAACTGCTCTGCAGAGACCTTATCACTGCGATGCCTGCGAGCGGGACTTCTTGTTCACGTCCACGGAGATCCTGCGGCACAGAAAGCAACACCAGTGACGGCCAGGGTTGTGTGTCTGGGCCTAGCCCTGACGGGGGCCTAGTGGTCAGAGCAGGGAGCTGGGTGTCAGGACTCCTGGGTTCTCTCCCCAGCTCTGGGAGGGCACATGGTCCTGCTCCTACAAAGCGCATGGCAGCGCATCCTGGCCGCGCTGGCCGGACTCACGGTGCGGGGTCAGGGTGGGAGCTGAGTCCTGCAGCGGTCGCTCCCTCGCTGACTCCCAGGTTAGTTTGTTACGAGTCGGGTTGGCGGGTTCGTTACGGGGCAGGCCTGTTCGTTACCCCCTGCCTGTGGGTCTGTCAGGGCATTGCTCCGGTGCCGGTTGGACTGGGCCGCTCTGGTGGGGCCAGAGGCACTGCTCCCCCTGGCGGGGACACGTGTCGGGTGTTTGTACATGTGAATAAATGTCCCTTGGTTGAGGAGCGCAGCCCGCGAATGGGGGGCCCAGGCTGTCCAGGGGAGGCTCTCTGGTACACAGTGGGCTGGAGGGGGTGGCACAATGGCTCCTTCTGGCCCAGCATCTCTGGGTCTGATGGCCCCGGATGGGGAAACTCAACAGTGCTAACAGCTGCTTTGCCCTGTGCGGCGGGGGCTGGAACCCTCGCGTGGGCCATGGGGCAGCCCATACCTGAGCCCTGGTGGCTCAGTGCAGCTCAGCGCCCTGCAGCCCCCCGGGACACCCCCGTTCTGCGCCTGGTCTCTGCAGCAGCATTGGAATAGATCCACGCAGGGCAAGCCTGCGTCTGCCCGGCTGGGAGCGGGAGTGGCAGCGGGCGAGGGCCTGGGAGAGAGCTGGGGCCGGGTGGTGCAATGGGATGCGTGGCAGGAAGTCAGCAAGGCTTAGCCGGAGCTTGGGGGTTGGGCGCTGGGAGAGGCCGAGATGGTGCCCCGGTGACAGGCTGAGCAATGAGAGTGAGGACGTGTGCATGCGGGTATCTCCGTGGGATAGGCGTGTCCACATGGGCAGCGTGCGTGCACACTGTCCATCTGAGATTGGAGTGTGGACGTGCCAGGAGACGGAGGTGCAGCCCAGCGAGTCGCCGGCTGGGAGGGCTGGCTTCTCTGGGCTCAGCTCTGCTAGAGATGCTGCCTGGACTTTGCGTGGCCACGGGGTGGCAGCCTCACTCTGTGTTTGCAGGATTTGCTGGCGTGCTCCCAGCTCCTGCTCTGAGCTGTCCACGCAGGGTGGAGAGACGGGGACCTCCTGTGTTTGTCAGGCTCCTCATTAGCAATGGGTCACCTGTTATGTATTACATAGAGGCCCCATCGTGCCGGGTGCCTCCCAGACACTGACCGCGATCAGGGCCGCGCAGACGTAGAGCAAGAGACAGCCCCTCCCCTGAAGAGCCCACAGTCCCAACAGCCCTGCAGAATGCACCAGCCCGGAGGACACATGGCGCCCGGCGAATCCTGTCCTGTTGGCTCTGGAGGCCTGGGCTCCGGGGCTTGGGGCACCCTGCTCTCCTCTACATCACTCCCAAGCCAGCTGCTCAGGAGCTTCTCGGGCTGGCCGGCTCGCCAGGGAGGCTGTGGTTCCTAGGAATTGGGGTCTGAGAGGCAGATCCCCTCCCGCACCTCCAGCCATGAAAACAACCCCACCAATTGGTGGGATGGCCTTGAGTCTAAGCAGCCCCCCCCCCTTTCCCTGCTCTCCCCTCAGCCCCGTCTCGCTTGCCCTGTCCATTGCGGGTTGAGAGTGTTGCATTGTATAGCACTGGGGCAGAGAGCACAGAGCGCCCCAGGGTGGGCAGGGCAAAAGGGTGTCATAAAGGACACCTCAGATCTAGGGCCACATTTCACACTGGTACCCTTGGGCAGAGAACACAAGCAGGGTCTATTGGGTCAGGGGGGCTGGGAGCCAGGATTCCTGGGTTCTATCCCTACTCTGGGAGGGGAGTGGTACCTAGTGGTTTGCGGGGCGGGGCTGGGAGCCAGGACTCCTGGATTCTATCCCCGGCCCTGGGAGGGGAGTGGGGTCTTTGGATTAGAGCAGGGGGGGTGGGAGCCAGGACTCCTGGGTTCTGTCCCCAGCTCTGGGCAGGGCATGGGGTGTAGTGGTTAGAGCAGGGGCTAGACCTTGCTCCCAAAGCTAATCGGAATTAATGTGCCCCTTTCTGTAACCCGCCCTAGCAGGTGTTGGTCTGCAGCCCTGTGTCATGGCGGGTTCACACTGGAGGTTTATATCCCTCTGCTGGCTGGGGAGACTGGGGCTAGTCCTTCAGCTCCTGTGGTTGGGGCTGCTGGATGTCCCTGTGCCTCACAGGTCTCCGGGGAGATGCCTACCAGGGGAGGTGTGTATTAGGGGGCAGCCGGCCCCAATGCCTCAGGGTCACAATGGGGAGATGATCTCTCACACCCTCCATCTTGTCTCCTCTCCCCAGTGCCAAATTCAGCCAAACTTTTAGGCATTCAAGTGTTATTGAATTGCTGAAGCTGTTTGAAACAGCCTATCCCCTCATGGGCAGCAAGAGACCCTACCATAAACAATCACGTAAATAAGGCAACCCATGTAACAAGCACACCCCACTTCAAGAAAAATGGCCCTCTTTAAATGCAGAGGATTCCCCTGGTCAGAGCCGGGTCCCAAACATCCTGGGGGCTTGTCTCTCTTCTTGTGAGTGAAGCTGCCGCATAAGAACAGAGATCAAATGAATCCGGTGATCGATCTGTAATTGTGTCACATCCTGGCCTGTGCTGGGGAATTAATTGGACTGTCGAGGTTAATGGAATGTCAGTTAATTCCTTAGCGCAGGGCTGCCAGAGCTGCCTGGTAAACGCTTATTGATTTCGACACGATTAAAGATAAACTGAGCACAGGCCAGTCTGGGTGGCGTCAATGCCACAATGACATGGAGGAGGAATTGGAGGAGCAAATACTGGCTGGCGTCGGTGCCCCTGAGTGCATAAGTGGCATCTACAGGCGTTTCAAAGCGTGGTGCACAGACAGACAGTCTCTGCCCCGGAGAGCGCCCCACCAAAACCACAAGACAGAACCCGTGTCTCTTCCACAGCCGAGGCCCGAGAGACTGGTGCAGCATTTTCCAATGAGCGCAGTGCCCTTTCAAGTGCCCATGTTGTCCAGAGGTCTCAGCATGCTGCTGCTTTTGGGGGAAACGGGCCCATGGTTCAGTACCTGAAGGGGAGAGGGGCTCTTCTGACCAGCTGCCCCAAAGTGGCTGCCCTGGGTCACACAGCAGGGTAGTTGCCAAGCAGGGATTTGAAGCTGGGTCTCCTGAGATGCCATCCAGTGTTGTGTGCCCAGCCACCCCCCCATCGTGCCTCTGGGTGCGTTATAAATACAGCGACAGCTTGGGCAGCCAGCTGCCTGTCTGCGGAGACAGGATGTCAGATCCGACATGGCTCACTCCCTCTGGGATGGCAGCTCCTGGTTTGCGAAGCCAGCAGCTCCTCTGCGCCAGGCGGGGCAGGTAGCATTGGAGGGCTGTAAAGCGGGGCTGGGCTCCTCATAACTGGGTATCTGCATAACTGGGTATCTACAAATTGAGGCTGGAGCCAGATGCAGGCCTCCCAGGCTGCTCTCGGACGGGTGTAAATCCGGCGTGAGGCTGCTGAAGCCGGGGGGCACGCCATGGCCATATGGACAGGAGCACACCCCCCCCCGACAGCTGCCCTACCCCGCTGCAATCGTTCTGTCCCCGGGGGGAAGCGAGGGGTTCCGTGCAGACCGCCGGCCCGGGAGGGGGCAGGACAGGCAGCCATGCAGGGGTGGGTTGGTTGTCTCACAGCCAGAGGGGACATCCACGCTGTGGCTGAGCTGCGATAAATCCTTCGCCGTTGTAAAACCAGCCAGCCCCTGCTGCTTAATGTGCTGCGCGCAGCCCCACAGCCAAACTCTGCTGCGATTTACAAGGGGCGAGCGTTTGGGAACCAGGCAGCTTGGGCTGGGATGGGGAGAGCTGAGAGCGCATTTGCAACTGCTCTTTAACGAGGGATTTTTAATGATGATGTGACAGTAAAAGTCCCCAAGACGGGATGGGGGGGCGGGGGTGCCGTAGCATGAGATTTACAAACCCTCTTGCGCTAAGTGTTTAAATGATGGAAGCTCTGTTCCCAGGTGGTAATTAGGGCATAAATTGTATTTATAACTCATAAGCAGAAATGTCACCAGCTTCATGAACTGAGGCTTGAGATAATAAAAGGATATTGTCGTTCATCATCGGGGCGATGGAGGGAGATCGATCAGAATTACAGCTTAGGGAAGCTGCGTCTGCGAGTGGTGTTCTCCGCCCGATGCGTGACTCGTCCAGCGTGCGGGCACAGGCCCGAGAATGGGGATCACTGGGCTGGCGGGGGAGAAATCCGTCCGCCTCTGAGTCGGGGCGGTAGGGAGATGCTAGGCCTTGTACCTAGGCCTCGTGCTGGCCCCTCTGAATGGGGTGAATTTGGCCCCGTTCCCGAGTTTAAAGCAGCCGGGCAGAGGCCCTGTATTCGTCACGTCCCTGCCACTCCGCTCAAGGCCCCGTCCCTCCACTCACCGCAGCAGAGCCCCCTCGCCCGCAGCTCGGCCGCGCCAAGGACCACAGGGGACACATTTACGTTACGCCTCGGAGCCCGCCACGCCCCGGAGGCCGAGCACAGATGCTGTTATTGTAGGCAGAGAGTTATGGCCGCTCTTTGTCACACCGGGTGAGGGACGTGCGGGGAATGCAAAGCCGCTGGCAGGGCCGGGCAGGGGAATGAATCGCTCCTGCACGCCGGTGCATGGAGAGAGGGAAGGGCTGCTGAATTCTCTCCCAGAGCAGGGCGCTAAGCTGCAAAGAGCCCGGCATGGTGGCGAGTGTGTGTGTGTTGGGGGGGGGGATATCTGACCGGGCTGCCCCTCCGTGTGAATGCCCCGCCCCGGGCGGCCCCTCTCCGGTAAGCCAGGCTTTGGAGGGCAGCAGTGTCTAGCGGTTTGAGCTGAGGGGTGTGTGTGTGTGTGTGTGGGCGTGTCTGGGTGTCAGGACTCCTGGGTTCTATCTACAGCTTGGGGAGGCGGGGGCAAGGCGGGAGACGGGCTTCTCCTCCTCCTGGCTTTGCCGACCACACGCCACACCGTGAGCAAGTCCCTTGCCCTCCCTCTGCCTTGTTTTCCCCATGTGTGACCCGGAGACGACGCTTCGCGAGGCTGCTGAGCTGGGCCCGATCCTTGCACACGCGCACAGGCTTCATCAAAGGCAGGGTGCAGCCCGCAGGCCGGATGGGAGACTTCAGTGGGGCCTAGGCCCAGGGCGTGTGTGTGTGGGGGGGTGTGAGTGGGACCTAGGCCCGGTGCGTGGGGGGGGGGTGAGTGAGGCCTAGGCCCAGTGCATGGGGTGGGGTGGGGGTCTGAGCGGGGCTTAGGCCCGGTGCGTGGGGGGGGTCTCAGGGGGTCTAGACCTTGGTGTGTGTGGGGTCTGAGTGGGGCTTAGGCCTGGTGGAGAGGGGGGTGGGGGGCACATGGTCCTGTGAATGTCGGGGGCATACATGTAGAACGCATGCATAAAATCAGGGCCAGGTTTCCCCCAGGTGCTGGAAATGCAGCCACGTCTTTCGGTGCCTAACAGGAGCTGGGCTCTGGGCAATATCTGGCCCAGGCTGTAGGCCCGTGCACAACAGATGCACCATGTTGCCAGCTCCTGCAGTTCTTTTCACCGGGGACGTGTGATTTTCGTTGGCGGGTGCAGCCAGGCTGCTGAGGATGTGGGAGGCTCCAGCCCTCTCGTGAATTTGAGCCCTTGGACTGGCTGCCTGTCTCCAGGGACCGCTGCAGGGTGGAGGCAATTCTCTCCCTGGCACCCCCCAGCAACCAAAGCAGGGCAACTCTTGTGTTCTCCTGCCACCCTCCCGGCAGCAGCTGTCTGGGAAGGGACAGGCCTGGGTGGGGAGCAGCCCCTGGAGCTTCCCCTCCCAGCCTGGGGACCCTGCTGCAGCCCCACTTCCCCTCTGGGTAGGGGTGAAGAACCCCAGGAGAAGCAGAGGTGAGCCGGAGGGGACTGAACTGATGGGGGTGGGGTGGGGATTAATTGCTGGGCTGGGCAGGGCAGATGAGGGGTGAGAGCTCCTGGAGCAGGGGCCAGACTCACCTTCCCAACGAACGTGGGTGAGTGGGTCATCCTAATTGTCACCTGCATGCGCGGGAGGGGCAGGTCAGCCGCCAAAAGATGGACCAAAAAGCGCAACATACTCGATATATATATAAAAAACTCTCATGAGACTTTGGGCCAAGCGCACAATGTTTGGGGGGAGGGGCTGACGCGGGATTCGTGAGTTCTTCGGGTTGGCGGGCTGTGGGCATGCAAACCAGGAGAGCCCCTGTGGCTCTCGGCCTGCACGCTACTCCTATTAACGTGCGTGGGGTGGAGAAAGCCCCTCCCTGTGCTGTTGTGAGCCGGGCGGAACCTTGTCCCGGGCAGAATTAAAGCCTTGCTGAGCATGGTGGGTATGGTGGGTATGGTTGCCTGTGTCACGGAGTCCCTGGGCGATGCTCTGGAACTGCTCCCCATGAAGTCAGTCAGGATTCTGGGGTAGTCGCTTTCTGTGAGCAGACTGTCTTCAGGACACACAGCTCACACAGCTTCCACCTTCCTGGGTCTGACCTCGGAGCATTCAGCATCCTCTGCCCTCCGTGTGCTTCCCCCAGCGAGTCCACCCAGGCGGGGCTCCTGGGGAAGCCAGAGGGTCCTGCACCCCAACTTCGCAGTCAGACGTGACTCTCAGCCAGCCAGTAAAACAGAAGGTTTATTAGACGACAGGAACATGGTCTAAAACAGAGCTTGCAGGTGAGAGAACGGACCCCTCAGCTGGGTCCATTCTGGGGGCAGTGAGCCAGACAACCACGTCTGCACTTCACTCCATGTCCCAGCCAGCCCCAAACTGAAAACCCCTCCAGCCCCCTCCTCCTCTGGGCTTTGTTCCTTTCCCGGGCCAGGTGGTCACCTGATTCCTTTGTTCTCCAACCCTTTAGCTCTCACCTTGCAGGGGGAAGGGCCCAGGCCATCAGTTGCCAGGAAACAGGGTGTTGGCCATTCTCTGTGTCCAGACCCCTGCACACACCTGCCCTCTAGGGCTCTGCAATGATCATACACCCTTACCCCACCCCCTAGATACTTAAGAACTGCCTAGGGGAAACTGAGGCACCCTCACACTATTCAGAGGAAACATTAAGAACAGTCCCACTTCGTCACATCTCTCCCCCTTCGAGATCGAACTGAGCGGGGTCACTTTAGCGGTGACCTGGGGAAGTTCGAAGCCACCAACGTTCCCATGGATGCCCCAGCATCTCTCCCATTCCTTGGTAGGAGTTACACCAGGCCCTTCCATTTTCACACCCTCCCTTAGGTCAGGGGTGGTCGATAGCACTCGCAGGCCGCATGTGGGAAGGTTTATGCAGCCCATGCCCTTTGGCCACCCCAAGAATGTCTCCCCATTGACCATCACCTTCTGCTCCCACTGGAGGTCCGAGGGGCCTGGCCCCAGGAAACTCCACACAGACATATAGGTTGGGGTCAGGAGTGGGAGCCTGTCCACATCCCCAACCATCTGGCTGACGGAGTCTATGGCCTTGGGACCCAGCAAGGGAGCTAGACACGGGCTTTTCCGCAGGGTCCCCCGGTTCAAATCGTCAGCCTGCTCAAAGGCAGTGAGGTGGGCATCCACACACCCCCCCTCCTTAACCAGGGGCAGCAATTTAGTCTTGAGGTTCCCTGCGGAACTGGCCCCCCGGGATCTATCCCCACTCACCCCTGGGGGTCCCCAGGCCCTCCGCTCCCCCACCGCCAGTTCATGCTGCTGCTGCTTCTGCAGCTCTTTCTCGGGCTCTCGCTGTCTCTCACAGTCCTCTTGCTCTCTCAGACTCAGCTCCAATCCCGTCCGTCTCGATCCCCGATGGGGAACCCGATCGTGAAGACCCCCGTCTGGTGGGGACAGGAGTCTTGGCGATGCCTGGCTCCCGCTTCAGCTGCTCCCAGATCCTGCTATAGCCCCAGTTGGGGTCAGGAATCTGTTCCTTAGAGCAGTCATCCTCCTCCAGCTGCACGATTAACTCTGCTTTGGTGAACTTTCCAACGCTCAACCCTCTCTTTTGCACAGGGTTACAATGTCCTTCTTAAGGAGACGGTGACAGGCCATCACCCGCTCCTCCCAAGTTGTTGTGGACTCACAGGCCCGTGTGTTCTCAGCTCCCCACGGTTTCCAGGGAGAACCCCTAGTGTGCCAGCCCTTCTCGAGGTCACCGCCTTTGCCAGGGTCGAGCTGCAGACTCCTCCGCCCCTTGGACTGCTCGCTGCAATCCCCAGGGGAACCCTGTTACTGCAAAAGTCCTCTCTCTCCCCGGGCCAAGCTGCAGGCTCCTCCGCCCTGAGACTGCTCACTGCAGTCCCCAGGGGGACCCCATTACTGCACAGTCCTTCGCTGGTCACACACTCCCAGGGGTTAACCGCCCCCGAAACCGCTCCTTTCTGAGCCTTCAGCAGGCCTGGTCCTCGGCAATCCCCTTCGTGTTACTGCTCCCCAGTCACTTACTGCAGGAAGCGCCATCCACGGGTGCAGTACATCCCACCGCTGCCACCAGTTGTCACGGAGTCCCTGGGATGCTCTGGAACTGCTCCCCATGAAGTCAGTCAGGATTCTGGGGTAGTCGCCTTTCTGTGAGCAGACTGTCTTCAGGACACACAGCTCACACAGCTTCCACCTTCCTGGTCTGACCTCGGAGCATTCAGCATCCTCTGCCCTCCTTGCTTCCCCAGCGAGTCCACCCAGGGGGGCTCCTGGGGAAGCCAGAGGGTCCTGCACCCCAACTCGCAGTCAGACGTGACTCTCAGCCAGCCAGTAAAACAGAAGGTTTATTAGACGACAGGAACATGGTCTAAAACAGAGCTTGCAGGTGCAGAGAAGGGACCCTCAGCTGGGTCCATTCTGGGGGCAGTGAGCCAGACAACCACGTCTGCACTTCACTCCATGTCCCAGCCAGCTCCAAACTGAAAACCCCCTCCAGCCCCTCCTCCTCTGGGCTTTGTTCCTTTCCCGGGCCAGGTGGTCACCTGATTCCTTTGTTCTCCAACCCTTTAGCTCACCTTGCAGGGGGAAGGGCCCAGGCCATCAGTTGCCAGGAAACAGGGTGTTGGCCATTCTCTGTGTCCAGACCCCTGCACACACCTGCCCTCTAGGGCTCTGCAATGATCATACACCCTTACCCCACCCCCTAGATACTTAAGAACTGCCTAGGGGAAACTGAGGCACCCTCACACTATTCAGAGGAAACATTAAGAACAGTCCCACTTCGTCACAGCCTGGTATCCGGTTTTTGACCAGAACGCCCAGTCGAAAAGGGACCCTGGCGGCTCCGGTCGGCGGCGCAGTGGGGCGAAGGCAGGCTCCCTGCCTGCCTTGGCTCCGCACGGCTCCCGGAAGCATCAGCATGCCCGCACTCCGGCTGCTAGGCGTAGGGGCAGCCAGGGGGCTCCACGCACTGGCCCCGCCCCCAGTGCCAGCTCCACAGCTTCCATGGGCCAGGAACCGTGGCCAATGGAAGCTGTGGGGGCGACAGCTGCGGATGGGGCAGCACGCAGAGGCGCCTGGCCACGCCTCTGCGTGGGAGCCAGAGGGGGCACATGCCACTGCTTTTGGGAGCTGCCTCAGGTAAGTGCTGCCCGGAGCCTGCCCCCCGTCCTCCCAGTGCCCCTGCCCCAGACCTGATCCCCCTCCTACTCTCCAAACCCCTCGATCCCAGCCCAGAGCAGCCTCCTGCACCCCAAATCCATCATCCCCAGACCCACCGCAGAGTCTGCATCCCCAGCAGGAGCCCTCACCCATCCGTGCCCCAATCCCCTGCCCCAGTCCTGATCCCCTTCCCACTCTCTGAACCTCTCGGTCCCAGCCCAGAGCCCCCTCCTACACCCCAAACCCCTCATCCCTAGCTCCACCCTAGACTCTGCACCCCCAGCCGAAGCCCTCACCCCCTCTGGCACCCCAACCCCCTGCCCCAGTCCGGAGCCCTCTCCTACACCCTGAACCCCTCATTTCTGTCCCCACCCCGGAACTCGCACCCCCCAGCCCAGAGCTCACATCCTCTCCCATACCCCAACCCCCTGCCTCAGACCGGAGCTCCCTTCCATACTCTGAACCCCTTGGCTCCACCCCCCAGCCCAGAGCAGCCTCCTGCACCCCAAACCCCTCATCCCTGGCTCCACCCCAGAGTCTGCACCTCCAGTTGGAGCCCTCACCCCCTCTGGCACCCCAAGCCCCTGAGCCAGCCTGATGAAAATGAGTGTGTGAGTGAGGGTGGGGAGAGCGAGCGATGGGGGGGGGTGGAGTGAGCAAGGGGTGGGGCCTCGGAGGAGGGGCAGGGCAGGGGGCGCGAGAAAGTTGGCAACCCTCGTGATGGGTGTGAACTCACGTTCCATTAACACAGCCGTACGGGTACATTCATCACAAGCCCCGACCAAAGAGAGAAGGGTTATGGGAGCCCGCTCAGGAGTTTCAGACTGGGTGGATGGAGGGGCTTTCGCTGGGTATGGTGTTTGTGTCGGTGCGAGGGGGGAGAACAGACAGACAGAGGGCAAGAGAAGAAAAGCAAGAAATCCAGGGGGTAGCCAGTGAGCACAGGGGGACCCTGGAACACGCTAGTGCCGGCTAAAAACCTGCCCCCTTTGGCCTTGGTGCCTCCTGCGTTTGGAGAAGCAGGACTTTGCCCGTTCCTTGCGTGAGCCCCGTGGGTGACTGAGGGGCTCGCTGCGGGTGAGAGCGAGGAGCCGACGGGGTCGGGGGGACAGAGCCTTGCTGCCATTCCAGCCACGGTCCTGGCAGTGGGTGCTGCGGAGCGGCAGGGGCACCCAGCTTCCAGCCCAAGAGCAGCGACTTGGGAGCAGTTGGGTGGACTCAGCTGGAGTTCGCAGCGTGAGTCTGCTGGCCTCTGTGTCCGCGGCTGAAATCCTCCCCACGGGACCAGCCGCAGCAGGGCCCTGACTTTTTCCAGAGCTCC